CGAGGTGCGACCGCGCGAGACAAATCAAATATTGGGGGCCCCACCTAATCGATTGCCGCATCCCCTAAGCTGATAATGTCGTGACGCCACTGATAATGTTGTCACTACACCACTGTGTCAAGGCTATATGTGGGGACATCGTTTCCATTCCCTTTAATAAAGTCCCGGATTGCTCATAACTACAGGGGCAGGGTCGCTGTAGTCAATACCCAATGAGCTTGGACGTGACATGCATCGCGTTATTAATTCATAGTGGCCCGTGTGTATGTGTGTCCGCGTGTATCTGTACACGCGGAGCGATATTGTAGCGGTTAGCGCGCTGCGCTATGAACCTGGCGACCCGAGTTCGATTCCCGCTCACGGCCAACACCAGTGACGACTCAGCCTCAAATGAGTACCTGGTACGGTGTGTAAACATTGCCACTAGGGAGACAAAGGCGGTCGGGCGTGGTGCTGGCCACCCACCCCCTCGTGTACCGTTCCGGCCTTCATAGGTGCTCGCTAACAGCACTTGCCCCTACAGTCTGTTAAGGCTATATGGGGGATCTTTGTCTTTGTACACGCGGACACACACACGCACGCGTGTATCTGTACACGCGGACACACACACACGTGTATCTGTACACGCGACACACACACGTGTACCTGTACACGCGACACACACACACGTGTATCTGTACACGCGGACACACACGTGTACCTGTACACGCGGACACACACGTGTGGATCTGTACACGCGGACGGACACACACACACGCACGTGTACCTGTACACGTGTGTGTGTGTGACGCGGCACGCCAGATGTCAGCCCCCTCCCCCCACACTGCCCTCGATGCCACCACCCCCCACGTCTACCGCCGAGCACCCTGAAGAAGACAAAGCAGCGTGTAGCCTACATCAGCTATTGGGACAAGTGCTGTCTATTGCCGAGCACTTATGAAGTGGGTGGCCAACACCAAACCCGGCCGCCTTTGCCTCTCCAGTGGACGATGTTTTCACACCGCACCATGTACTATGTTTTAAAGCCGAGTCATCCTAGGTGAAGCCCAGGACCGGTTCATATATTCGTCAATTGTGTTGGCCGTGAGCGGGTGGCCGCATTTGTAACGCAGCGTGTAGCCACTACCCCCCACCATCATCATCACCATCATCATCCTCTCGCCAGACAGCAGACAGACGAACACCAGGTGCCCGCCAGCCCCCCCCCCGCTCTCCCAATTTGCGACTCTAAGTCTCAGCGTCTGCGAGGGCGGAGATGAGGACGGGGTTGGGGGGTTAAGTGGGATGCGATGGGGGTTTACTTTAGGGGTTTGCTCAATCGTCACGATCATCATCTGTCCGATTCCGTACGGTCCATCTACAATCACATGCGGATGTGGTGACCCATCATCCCGTCATGGCTTGCATCAACATCGCCAGCAGCACCGCGATTCATTATGATGACGCATTCGCCTCCAGACGCCGCAGCAATCATCCGCACGCCATTATAACGTGCTGTCTCTCATCACTCGTCACTATGCTTAGCATCATCGTCACAACTCGTTATCCTCATGCATTGTCCACAGTGGTCGTCGTCATTTTGTTGAGACGTCATCACATCGGCTATTAACAAAAGTTGGGCCTGGACAGGACGCGTGACGGCTGCTCGAAGCACGGCCCCCGCTGCTGGTGGAGAAGAGTCCTCGGTGGCAGCCAAGCGCAGGGAACGCGCCCGAGAGGACGGCCACCGCGCGGGGATTTCTACATCGGGGGGTCCGGAGCGGCGACCCACGGCACAGGGTGGTGGCCTTCATCCGGCAAGGGATCGAGCGTGGCCGCTGTTGCCTCTGCTGCTACTGCTGCTGCTAAGTTGGATCGGAGTGACCCATTACTGGGATGGGACGGCGAGCGGCGCGTGACGGGGCGAGGTGAATGGGAGCCGCGCTCATCCATTAATCACTCTGGGGGGTCACGGGCAGGGGAGGGACCCCGCTAGCTCCCCCTACCCCCTCCTGCCGCCCCCCCAGGCTCCTCTGAAACCTCTCCTCCCCCACCCCGTATGGCGCCCCTAACCCATCACCTTCCCATTAGTCCCCCGCCCATCTCCCCCTAATCTCTACCACCCACCTCCCCCATCCTGCGGCTCCCGCCTAACCCTCGTCCTGCGCTGCTCCCCCCAACCCCTACCCCGCGGCTCCCACCGACCCCTCACTCTGGCTCCCTCTACCCCCCCCATCCCCCTAAGCCCCCTCCCCATAGCCCCTCCCCCACCGCTGGCGGTCAAGGGCGGCCAGGCGCACGCGGCACGCGAGGGATCGATGCGCGATCGCCCCTCCGCTAGCTCCCCCTACCCCCTCCTGCCTCTCTCGCGGCGAGAGAGGCAGTGGAGCGCGTCTCAAGGTCAAAATGTCACCGTGACCACCCCCCCCCCCGTACCAATGCGATGCCATCGCAGTTTCGTTGTCGCCTCTTTCCGTTCTGCTCGATCTCCCAGCTCGGCGTCGATAGGTTTCGCATCGGACCTTCAGCATCTCCTCGTAGTCTCATCGTCATCATCATTTAGCACGGTTTGCTACGTACGATGCGAAATAAGTTCATCGTGCATACATACATCACCACCATCTATCTGACTTTAGGTCTTCTACTTGATACCCAGTTGACGCGTCCTTCAAGGACCGCTCTTACCACCACCGTCTTCTGGCTTTAGGCCTTCTCTTCCCCTTGGTCATCGACCTCTGGGTGCCACTCCAGTGCCCGTCTCGGTGACCTCGCCCCCTCCTCCTCCCTGCACACCACGTGTCCCACTCATCACAACCTCCTCCCTGCACACCACGTGTCCCACTCGCCACAACCTCCTCATCCCTGCACACCACGTGTCCCACTCACCACAACCTCCTCCTCCCTGCACACCACGTGTCCCACTCACCACAACCTCCTCCTCCCTGCACACCACGTGTCCCACTCATCACAACCTCCTCCCTGCACACCACGTGTCCCACTCATCACAACCTCCTCCCTGCACACCACGTGTCCCACTCACCACAACCTCATCCCTGCACACCACGTGTCCCACTCACAACCTTCTCCTCCCTGCACACCACGTGTCCCACTCATCACAACCTCCTCCCTGCACACCACGTGTCCCACTCATCACAACCTCCTCCCTGCACACCACGTGTCCCACTCACCACAACCTCATCCCTGCACACCGTGTCCCACTCATCACAACCTCCTCCCTGCACACCACGTGTCCCACTCATCACAACCTCCTCCCTGCACACCACGTGTCCCACTCATCATAACCTCCTCCCTGCACACCACGTGTCCCACTCACAACCTTCTCCTCCCTGCACACCACGTGTCCCACTCATCACAACCTCCTCCTCCATGCACACCACGTGTCCCACTCATCATAACCTCCTCCCTGCACACCACGTGTCCCACTCACCACAACCTCCTCCTCCCTGCACACCACGTGTCCCACTCATAACAACCTCCTCCTCCCTGCACACCACGTGTCCCACTCACCACAACCTCCTCCTCCCTGCACACCACGTGTCCCACTCATCACAACCTCCTCCTCCCTGCACACCACGTGTCCCACTCACCACAACCTCCTCCCTGCACACCACGTGTCCCACTCATCACAACCTCCTCCCTGCAAACCACGTGTCCCACTCATCACAACCTCCTCCCTGCACACCACGTGTCCCACTCACCACAACCTCCTCATCCCTGCACACCACGTGTCCCACTCATCACAACCTCCTCCCTGCACACCACGTGTCCCACTCATCACAACCTCCTCCCTGCACACCACGTGTCCCACTCATCACAACCTCCTCCTCCCTGCACACGTGTCCCACTCATCACAACCTCCTCCTCCATGCACACCACGTGTCCCACTCATAACAACCTCCTCCTCCCTGCACACCACGTGTCCCACTCATCACAACCTCCTCCTCCCTGCACACGTGTCCCACTCACCACAACCTCCTCCCTGCACACCACGTGTCCCGCTCATCACAACCTCCTCCTCCATGCACACCACGTGTCCCACTCATAACAACCTCCTCCTCCCTGCACACCACGTGTCCCACTCATCACAACCTCCTCCTCCCTGCACACCACGTGTCCCACTCACCACAACCTCCTCCATGCACACCACGTGTCCCGCTCATCACAACCTCCTCCTCCCTGCACACCACGTGTCCCACTCATAACAACCTCCTCCTCCCTGCACACCACGTGTCCCACTCACCACAACCTCCTCCTCCCTGCACACCACGTGTCCCACTCACCACAACCTCCTCCTCCCTGCACACCACGTGTTCCACTCATCACAACCTCCTCCCTGCACACCACGTGTCCCACTCATCACAACCTCCTCCTCCCTGCACACCACGTGTCCCACTTATCACAACCTCCTCCTATTCACAACATCCAAGTTCATAATAGTTTTTTTTTGGGTTAGATTGTGTAAATATATAAAATTGTCGTTAAAACCCGCCACCACCCGACACAGCCAACTAGTGAGGATTGTCACGGAAACAAAACGTGCCAATTCGTCACTAGTACAGCACACCGGTGTGTTGGAGAGGCGAGCCACAACATTAACAATGTGAGTACGACGTTTCGCCAGTAATTACAACTAGCTTCATCAGGCGACAGCGAAAGCCTACGTGTTAAACTCACCTCCAAGTTAAATTTCGATTTAAAGCTTTCGTGACTGCAAGCATTCATCTTCTTTGGTTCTTTCGGTAAAGTCACGTAGAATGAGAATAAAATAAAAAATTGATAAAATAAAATAACACAATAAAATTCTCACGACGTTTCGGCCACAACACAAGCGGCCTTCATCAGGTGAAGGGACGAGACTGTCTGGAGGACAGCGCTCCTTTACCAAAAGAACCAAAGAAGATCACCTCCAAGTTGTTTCCCCTATCCTCCTCCACGCTGCACTTGACGTGCCCCACTCATCACAACCGACTGCACCACTGCTCTCCACATTCAGATTTTCACAGATTGTCTTCTCTCCAGAATCCCGTTTTGAATTATTGCTGTTCTGGTTTGAGCGACTACCAGTGGCTTAGAGGCGAGTGCATTTTATTTTAAATCAGACGAGCAGAGATCCCGTTGTTGCTCTGCAATGTAAAATAATAAACAGCTGTCATTGTTCATACTCTTCTCACAACCCTCCTGTACTCGGAGCACTACAATTAATGTCTTTTTACTTAAGATAATATGTACCGCAAGGGGTTTAAAAAATACTGTATAGGATTAAGGATATTCTGGTGAATGACATTAATAGCACAGATTGAAATGTGAGAACAATTTTAAATGAACCGTGGCAGTCCTCTGTATTTATTACTCCAACCTCTTCGGTGTCGCTATCTATAATAATAATGATTAAACTTCTTCTTAACTTCAACCGAATGTTTATTATTGGTTACGTGGAAAATCCCGCGTAGCCAGTTACCCAGCTAGCTTCGGTAGCAACAACCAGTAGCAGCAGCCACTGAGGAGCCAAGCCAGCAGCTAGCCGGGAACCTCGAGGCATAATTGACAAATCTTCCCGGCTCTACTTCATTTCCTCGCTCGGTGAGCTGGTCCAGTCGACGACGGCAAGTCAGGGGCATGGAGGATAGTGGGGGGCGATGTTCACGTGACTAGCCACCCCTCCGCAGGGAGCGGCGCTTGCAGCAGGACACGGGCGACTTGTCGCACTCGCTCGTCCACGCCGCTGCTCTGCAGCAGCAGCGACTCCAGCTGTGCGGGGCCCCCCTCGTTCTCGAACCACGCACGGGCCTGGCGGGGGGGGGGGGCAGGCAGGTGTCACACAAGGGTCAGATTCATAGGGTCAGCGGGTCGGCCACCAGGGTCACAGTTCGGGTGTTGCAGGTGGAGGGAATAGCGCGAGTTGGACGTTGTGTGCCGGCATAAGGGTCCAAAAAAGTTTGAACATTATGCCGCAAATCACTCGACTGGATCGCACGCTCATACAGCAGCAGCAGCAGAGATCATCACCCCTCATGGCGGACTCATGTCCCAGGGTCACTCCCGCAAATGAGACTCCATCCTGGTCTCTTGAACTCTCACTTGGTTACATAAAATACATTTGAAGTGTGAATAATGCCTCTGGAATTGAGTGTCTGTGGAATTCCCCTGGTGGCTGAGATGTCACGTTATTGTTTACCGTTATCAACGTCCAGAATTAACGCCTCACTCGAGACGAATATATCGCTGGCCTCCTGGCTTCCACACTCCTCCTCCCCAATGAACACTCGTGGTTGTAAACCTCGACCGCATCAGAACATCAAGAGCAGGCCCACGTCCACATCTCCTTCAGCAATGGAACACAAGTACGTATGTTGAACTTCATTCGCACCGTACGTAGCCAACCGTGCTAATCGGAGGTGCCACTGCGGCCGTGCAGCCCATCTATGCACCGGATTATGAACCACCGTTGTCTGCGCTCCTTCAACAGAGGATAGGGAGCAGCGACACGACACCAACTCTCTCTCTCTCTCTGCTGAAGCCCTCTCGTCGTGGCCAGCAGACCTCGACACTGGCGTTCAGCTGCCGAACCACACGAGTTTATCATCGTCGTTGTTTGCGATTCATTTTATCATCGTCCTAGCTTCTGATCGTTGCCGTTGCCACCTCGGGGCTGTTGGCCAGCAGCGGCTGCAACAGCTGCAGCGCCGTGACCCTGAGCTCGGGGTCAGGCTCCCCCGGCGTCGCTTCGGCGCCCAGGGCCACGGAGGCGGCGGCGCTCAGCAGCTCCGGGCAGCCCCCGAGCAGCGAGCACGAGGGCCCAGCACGCACGGCCACGGTGCAGAGCACGCGCGCCGCCTGTGGGACACGCACGCACACACGCACGCACGCGTACACAGACTAAAGATCCCCCGCGTGGCCTTGAACTGCTGGGGCAAGTGCCGATAGCGAGGCGCAGCACCTATGGAGGCCGGTACGGCACGCGAGCGGGCGGGTGGCCAACATCACGCACGGCTGTCTTGTCTCCCCGCTGCGGATGTTTACACACTGTACTAGGTACTCGTTTGAGGCTGAGTAGACCTAGGGGAGCCCCAGGACCGATTAAGATAATCGTCACTGGTTTTGGCCATGAGCAGGAATCGAACTCCGGTCTCCAGATTCGTAGCGCTGGGCACCAACTGCTACGCCACCCCTCCCCAAACAAACACAGACAAAGATCCCCGTATAGCCTTAACAGACTGTTGGGGCAAGTGTTGGTAGTGAGCACCTATTCAGGCCGGAACGGTACACGATGGGGTGGGTGGCCAGCACTACGCCCGACCGCCTTTGTCTCCCTAGTGGCGATGTTTACACACCACGCCAGGTACTTATTTGAGGCTGAGTCGACCTAGGGGAGGCCCAGGACCGGTTCAAATATTCGCCACTGGTGTTGGCCGTGGGCGGGAATTGAACTCAGGCTGCCAGGTTTGCAGCGCAGCGCGCTAACCGCGACACTACTCCTCCCAATACGCCTACACACACATGCGTACACAATCACACGGGCAGACACGTGCCATCATGAATTAATAACCGGCATGCGTCTCCCCTTCCCTGCTTATTTGATGTTAACTGAAATGACCCCGCCTGGAGTCGGTTATGAGCGTAGCGGCTGTTCATCACACACACACAGGCAGAGACTGTTGGGGCAAGAGCGGCTATTGTCAGCCGGTAACTTCCCACTGCTGGATACAGGCCTCCCTCATTCTCTCCGATCCCTTCCTTCGCTGTGTCAGTCTATGGGTCTCTGTGTGTCTCTATGGGTCTCTGTGCGAGTCTGTGGGTCTCTGCGTGAGTCTACGGGTCTCTGTGTGAGTCTATGGGTCTCTGTCTGAGTCTACGGGTCTCTGTGCGAGTCTGTGGGTCTCTATGTGCTTGGGGAATTGTTGGTAGCGACGGCTCATCACCGCGTGGCTGTGGTTCCTGCATTGCCTCCGAGTCCTTCTCTCTGTACGAGAGCGAGCAACTTAACGCACGGCGGCGGCACGTCGGAGGTGACATCGTTATCTCTCACGCGCCGCAACGTGTAACTAATTTAAGGCCGAGTCGACCTGGAGGGGGACAGGGACCCACCATGAGTCCGACCCCTTGACCGCGGCGCAGCAGTGCGGCGAGGCGAACGTGAGCGCCCAGACGGAGCAGCACGGAGCACCAGGCCGGCTCGCCGGCTGGGAGGCAAACCGGGACGAGGGAGGTTGAGAGGGGTCGGGGTGGGGGTTAGAGGGACGCGTCAGGAGACTCGCGTGCGGCACGGAGGCGACGCTGGGAGATGACGCTGTCCAGGCCGAGTCCGCTCAACGGCACGCGTGAGCGTAGCGAGCACAGAGGAGGACTGTCGAACGGATCTCGGTGTGGTTCTGAGGTCATCTTACGGGGGCCGTTCTCTGTCACAGCGTGGTGCACTGCTCACTGCGATGGACATTTCTTGGTAGAGGAGTGCGAAGGGGCAGAGGCGTCCCACCGATGGTGGGGAGCCGCTCCTGTGGAATCTGCCACTAGAGGGCACCATCAGCCCTGGCCCGGCTAAACCCAGCGATTGGCGATTGCTGCTGACCCTGCTGCTGCGTTGGCACTGGTGCACAACCAACAACAACTTTCATAAGAGGTTTTTCGGTTAGATCGCGTACATCATAAAACCCGCCACCACCAGACAAAGCCAATCTGTTGTAATTACTCGCGAAGCGTCACTCGAATGTATGTTGTGAGTTTACTCTCTAACAAACCGGTGTGCTGTACTCATGACGAATTGGCATGTTTTGTTTTTGTGATAAACCTTACTAATTGGCTGTGTCGGATGGTGGCGGGTTTAACGGCATATTTATATTTATGCGCTCTAACCCAAAAAACTCTATAATGGATAATGGTCGCGAAAGCCTGCTACGTGTTGAAACTCAAAACGTTCCGTGTCAACAACAGCAACAATGTACTGCTTTGAAATTGGGTCCATCTTCTTGAAACTCCCTGTATAATAGGAGACGTTTTGGACAATGGCCCTTCTTTATGTCCTATGACAAAGGACCATTATCAGAAACGTTGCCTATTATATATTATTTCCTTCCAAGGCCACAGAGTGTGATGACTCACGTGTTGAGTTGTCAATTGAGACAAGTTATTTGGTGATGCTGCTGCTGCGTTGGCAGTGGTGGTGCACAAGTACAATTAACAACAAAAAACTAACTCAACACTTTCGTCAATAAAACTTCGGTGTTTCCAAAGGAAACATTTAAAAAATATAATTTGGAGTTTGCATGTCTCTCTCTCCCTTTGGTCGCGTGGATTTTTCTCCGCGTCCTCCGGTTTCTCCCTCCACATTTATAAACAACATCACGCGTTTAGAGTACTTGGCTGGTATAAGTTTCCACATGATGATAAGCAACTTTGCTGAGCTGTCATTTGTGGCCAGGTCGCCTCTGAAAACAACAGCTATATAGCTCAGTGGGCCTTCGCTGGTAAAATAATAAAAATAGTTTAGTTCTTGTCCAGTTTCTTGTCCAACGGGACGAGGCTAAAACTGCTGGCACCGCCCACGCGCCTCCAGCCACGGCCGCCAAAGCGGCGCCGGCACCCACCGGTCAAGTTGCCCACAAGCCAGAGGCACTCGCGGCTCACGAACGGGCGCTTGGTTAAGAAGCGCTCGGCGAAGAGCAGCAGCGCCGGCAGGAGCCCCGCGTCGCGCACAGCTCGCCGGGACCCCTCGCCGAGCCCCCCGCAAACCGCGTTGCCCACGCAGCGGACCAGCGGCACGACGAGCTGAGTCGCGCGGGCACAGGGAGCGGGAGCGCGCAGACCAAACTCGCGGTCATCGTTAGCCAGGGTCTATCCACTGCGGGATGAAAGTCTCCCCAAGCCATAATCATCATCATGACCGTGGCTCACGGTTCTGTGATGCAACGATCCGTGTGTCACCTGTGCCACAAGCTAATTTCGTCGCTCCATCTTCGCGGTGGGTTGTCACAGAGCTCGGTGCGAACTTGCACCTAAAACCACGACCACCCTCGAGGTGTACACGTGACCCCCGTGACCCCCCGTGACTCCTCTCGGACCTACCAGCTCGGCGTACTCCGGGATGGGGGAGCTCAGAAGCCACCCCCCAAGCTCGACCAGCACCCCCACGACCTCTCGGATCAGGGGCTCCTCCACAAGATCGCTCGCACCACTGTGGAGGGCACACGGCAATGGGAGGTCAGCGACAAAGCATCATCATCATCGCGGATATTATCATCATCAATATCATCATCAGGGCCAGATATAGGCATAAGCTAAGTAAGCTACAGCTTAGGGCCTCACATCATAAATACAACGTTTTACATAATCTGTTAAAAAAAGAAGATAGGGAAAAAATACATGACAAAAATATAGAGGGATTAGTCGATGGGGCCTCTGAAGCGTGACAGAGCTGAGGGCCCTAGCGATGTCATAATCCAGCTCTGGTCACCAATGTTGTCCTTATCAATGATTCATCATCATCATTGTCTTCATCGTGGCCGTTCGCAGGAATCAAACAGGTGGCTGGGTTCGTAGCGCAGCGCACTAACCACTACACTACCGCTTCACATACACCCTTCCACAGACAAACACACGCCATCCTCTCTCCTCCTGCTGTTGCTGCGGCTGCAGGGAACACAGGCCTCAAGCCTCGGATGCAGCCCCCGTGTGCCCCGCGTGCCCCTGTGTGTCCCGCGCCACGTGGGCAACCTGCACGCCAGGTAGTGGAGGCACCACGCCGCTTCCACGGCGCTCGGCGGAATGTCGCGAGCCCCGGGGGGCAGCACCAGCAGCGTCCGCAGGAGCGAGGGCAGCCCGGCCGCCCGCACAGCCCTGCAGCGCCGGCACGTAAACAACAACAAACGATAGCCGCCATTCGCCACCAAGTGAAGGAGACGTCACCGCAGCCTATATAATGACGTCAACTCGTACCGCGCCACCGCCACACAGCATCCGCTCCTCGCTCTCATATAGAGAGGACGACTCGGAGGCGCCATGAGGAGGAACCAGACGAGCGAAAAGGCAGTAGTAGCAGCCAGGCGGTGAGGCTGGCACCACCAACAATTGGCAAAGCTCTGCGGATCTCTTTATTACATTAAGATGTTTCCAGCCATGTGTACGAGCGAGGGGGCCACACTCTGTTCAGTACGGGTGGAAGATTGGTAGCTCCCCATTTGTCTGCACCGCCTTGGCCTGACAAGCACTAAGCCAGGCGGTAGGCACACTGGCAGGAGCTCACGGGACAGACCCAGCTGCAATGGGTCGACTGAGATGACCAGCAGATGCACCACCTGTGCTGCCCACTGTGCCACCTCACTGCGTTTTAGACGCACGGCGCTCCTTCACCCGTTGTTGTGAGCATCGCTCCTCTGCCCCTCCTTGGTTCTAGAGGGCGACTGTCTCCAACTACCCAGTAGCCTCACAGTACACCTAGCCTGGCACTGCCCAGTAGCGTCCTTCACGAGCCTCCTCCAGAGGCCGATCTTGACACGGCTTGTACACACGCACATCGACACACACGTACGTGCACCTGTGTGTGCGGGGGAACGATGGGGCGGATCGAGGGGGAGCGACTCACGGGATGATGCGGTCGAAGGCCTCGGGCGCCTGGAGCAGCTGGGACAGCGCAAACGCAGCGGCCTCCAGCACCGCCCCGTGGGGAGACTGTGCACGCAGCACGCAGTGTGCATGAGTGTGTGCGAGTGTTTGAGCGAGTCTTTGTACGCATGTGTGCACGTTGTTTTACGCCTATACGCCCTTAATAGGTGCTCCCTAACAATGCTCGCGATCGTCATTGCATTACTGCTCTACTTTAGCGAACAGAAAGTGAGTGAGCAGGCCCGACGTTAACCAATGCAGAGATAATCACCGAGATTGCATTGCTACTTCTTGATTAACGTACGTCCATACTGCCTGTCACGAATAATATACGCAGCACGACGCGTGTGGCAGAGAGATCGCTTCGCTAATGCAGCCTGCGTGGAACTGCACTTTTAAATTATTACAGTCCCCGCGCGAGCTTTAATTCAATTATGCGTGCCGCTCCGCAAAGCTGGCACACGGGCCCTGTTTGTGCCACCGTCGAATGATTCAATACGAGCCGTCGTTTCAGCTCCCTGCTTCCTCGGTTCCCACAAGTTCACACAACCCCTTCGGCCCAGCTCTCCAAGTCTGCCTGGTCCGTAGGCCTCCCCGGTCTTTAGGTTCCTGCACTCAGGTCCCCCTGCCCCAAGAATTCATTCGTACCACAGCTCCCGCTGTCTCTCTGTCCCACGTCTCCCTATACTCAGGCCTCCTAGGCCCTCTGTCCACATGTCCCCAGGTCCCTGTGCCTATCTCTCTGCCCCCCCCCCCCCGCTCACTCCGAACTCCTCCCCATCTCCCAGGTCTCCCTGGTCTACAGATCCCCATGGCTCCCAGGAACCCCCTGTGCAGACCTGCAGGCAGGATGCGATCCCGGCGAGGAGCCCCTGTGCCATCATCTGTTCCCGCGCCCTCGTGCTCTCCGTCACCAGGTTTGCCAGCGTGTACAGACACACCTCCTGCAAGAGCACACGCACAAGACAGACACGTGTGTGCGAGTGTGTGCGAGTATTAATAGGACGACTCTGCCTCGTTTGAACACACGGTGCGGTGTGTAAACAACGGCACTGACCGGGGAGACAAAGGCAGCCAGGTGAGGCGTTGGCCATGACCACCCCCTGTGTGCTGTGCCAGCCTCCACCGGTGCTCGTTAACAGCACTTGCCCAAACAGTCTGTTAAAGGCTATGAAGGGGAACTTTGGATTTATTTTGTGTGTGTGTGTTAGCCCATAACACCTGAGTCTGTTCCGTGACCTCCCGTCAGAAGTGAGCCTTGAACGCTTCACGTGATACCTTCAAGGTGCACCTAGCCTGGCACAAGCGCCGTGGTAACATCACCGCCCACTCAGTGGTGAACGGCGGCTGCCTTGTTCGCGCGGGCGCGTGTGTACGTGCGGGTGTGTGCACGCGCGGGCGCATGTGTGTGTATGTGAGGGGCGTGTGCACGTGGGGGTGTGTATACATGTAAACATGTGTACGTGTGAGCATGCGTGTACACGTGCGGGCGTGTGTGTGTGTGTACGCGAGGGGCGTGTGTACGTGCGGGCGTGCCTGTGGGCATGCGTGTGTACGCGCGGGCGTGTGTACGTGCCGTGAGCTGGGGACTGTGGCCCCCCAGCAGCGTGACGAGGTAGGAGGTGGCAGCAAGGCAGGCGAGCGGCGCCGCGGGCAGTGCGGAGTGCGACAGGCGCAGCAGCGAGCGCGCCGCCTCCAGCTGCAGCTCGGGGCCGCGTGCCAGTAGCGCCACGAGCGAGCGAACGCCACCCTCCACGCTGACACGCAGAGACGGAGATCCCCCGCGTCGCCTCAACAGGCTGTCGGGACAAGTGCTGGTAGCGCGTAGCACTGGTCAAGGCCGGTACGGTGGGTGACCAGCACCACGCCCGGCCGCCTTTGTCTCTCCAGTCCTAGGACTGGTTCGGATAATCACCACTGTTATTGGTCGTGAGAGGGGGTCCAAGTCAAGTCGCTGAGTTCGGAACGTAGTGCGGCGCCAGCCACTGCGGCACAACTCCCCATAACACTGACACACGTGTCACGTAACCCACTGCGGAACTCCATGATGGAGCTCCACGGTGAAGCTCCACGGTTTAGCTCCATGGGAGCTCCATCGTGCAGCCCCTGCTCACCCAATGAAGGCCGCCTGTGCATCCTGGTTGGACAGGGCCCGGCGTAACGCGCGCAGGGCCTCCAGCCTGGGACCAAGGGCTCCAGACGATGCCGTCTTCTGCACCTCCAGCCACAGCTGCGGCACCTGTGTACGGTAGGGGGTGCACACACCAACAACAACACTCGCATGGCAAAAAAATGTTCGTGGGACCCTCCACCACCCGACATGATAAATATAACCATATAGACATGCAAATACAAAGATCCCCCCTATATCCATTAACAGTCTGTCGGAGCGAGTTCTGTGGGTGAGCACCTATTTAGGCCAGGATGGTACACGAGGGGGTGGGTGGCCAGCACCACACCCGGCCACAATTTGTCTCCCCAGGGATGACGTTTACACACCGTACCATTTAATGCTGAGTTAACCTCGTGCAGGCCCAGGACCGCTTCAAGTATACATCACCCAATGTTAGCTGTGAGGAGGAATTGAACTCAGGTCAGCTAGATCGTAGTGCTGTGCACTAACCACTGTACTAATGCACCCCATGTATGAATGCGTAAACACCCCACATGTGCATACACGGAGATATGCGCGAGGAATGAGGTCCTCTGTTGGGGGCATAACATTGTTTGTACATGCATATATGTGTGTACAATAATCATTATAATCATTCTGTTTTTGATAGAGCCACCCTCCTTTACGCCGGGACATCTCAAGAGCGCTTTACAGGAATCTCATCTAACGTCGACATATTTTAAAGGGTACCCCCAGTGGCAGCTGACCCTGTCGGGCACAGGGTACATTACCTACAAACCGGTATAAGTTTGCCAGTAGGGGCTGATGATTGCTACTGTGTGTAATTCCCACCAACTAATTAGCAGTATAATTTTTCGAATTTGGCAAAAATGTGGGCCACAACGCCGGCACACAATAGCCTACACTTGCAAATGATGCCAGGGGATTTTTAACGTCCACCACGGAGCAGACAGCGCGTATTTATGCGTTCAATACACCGGAAGTAATGACCAGGGCGGCCTGCCGAAATCGAACCACAATTCTCTGCAACAATGGTAAACCCGCTATCGCTGGGCCGCGTCACCACCTTAACCACCGCACGCAGCCAAGGTGTCACGTCTGAACCGATGCTCACTGCGAGCCACTCACGGTCTCTGCTGCTGCTGCTGCCTGTGGCTCGTGGGGGGAGCTGGGAGAGCCAGGGGAGGCCGCGAGGCTCCTGGGAGCTCGCTTGCTCATGAGCTGAGATTCTCTCCGAGCGCGACGCAACTCTGTCGAGCGGACGGCAGAGGGACATTGGCACGGCACTCGCACACACGTGTACAGAGCTGCACACTCGCTAACAGACACGAAATACAAAGAGCCCTCGTGTTGCCTGTCACAGGCTGTTGGAGGGAGTGCTGTTTGCGAGCACCTATGAAGCCCAGAATGGTACACGAGGAAGTGGTGTGGCTAGAACCACGTCCGGCCGTCTTTGTCTCCCCAATGCCAATGTTTGCACGCTGCACTAGGTTCACATTTAAACCCCAGGACGAGTTCAGATATTCTTCACCGAGGTTGACCCGCGAGTGGGAATCGAGCTCGGGTCACCGGCTTTGTAGCGCACTGCGCGAACCACTGCACCACTGCTCCCACACATACGCAGGCATGCATAAACACGCACACACAGACACCATTATCTCCAGGTAGAGGACACTCAGAGGGGAGGTGGTACAAGTGAAGGAGGAAGTCGTAAAGGGGGATAAGAAAGAAGACCTGGGAGAGGGGGAGGTCTGGGAAGGGAGGGAGGGGTGTTAGATGGAGGGAGACCTTGGTAGAGGGGGGCGGTGGAGGGAAGAGGGGGGTCTGGAAGGGAGGGGGAGCAGAGGAAGGGAGATCTGGACGGGGGGGGGGCAGGGCCCCTCACCCGCCTCCTCCTCCCTGCGCCGTGCCCTCATGCCCTGCACGCTGCTGCTGGGCCCTCCTGCCTTGTACAGATCTCTCCGCGGATTCTCCATCACCGCCTGCAGCAGGGCAAGGCAGTGCACAACCGGTTACTGCAGGGCACAGCAGGCTCCTGCACAGAACAGCGGGGCACAGCAGTGCACGGGAAGGTGCCGCAGGTTTCTGTAGGGCACAGCAGGGCTCGTGAAGCTGTGCGAATTACTTCCCACGGTAAACAACAGCTGAACTACAGCGGGAAACAGCTGGCGTATGCGTATACGGCACAAACCCGCGACACGTTCATAGCATGCCCCACATACAGGTCTGCTACACAGATAACCCGCGACACGTCCATAGCATGCCCCACATACAGCCTGCTACATAGATAACCCGCGACACGTCCATAGCATGCCCCACATACAGCCTGCTACACAGATAACCCGCGACACGTCCATAGCATGCCCCACATACAGCCTGCTACACAGATAACCCACGACACGTCCATAGCATGCCTCACATACAGCCTGCTACACAGATAACCCACGACACGTTCATAGCATGCCTCACATACAGCCTGCTACACAGATAACCCGCGACACGTCCATAGCATGCCTCACATACAGCCTGCTACACAGATAACCTGCGACACGTCCATAGCATGCCCCACATACAGCCTACTACACAGATAACAGCAGGCTATAGTTACAGCATGCCCACACAGCTCACGTGGTTGCAGGCAGATGCTGCTCCTGCTGTCGTCAAGTTATAGGTGCAGATGTTGTTCTGCTGTTGCTGACAAAAGGCTGTAGACGTTACCGTGTCCTGCTGTAGCCCGTGCTGTACTGGCTGTGTAGACGTTGCGGGGCTGTTACTATTGTTCAGTTGTAGCTTATACTGCCGTTCTTACACCGGGTGTACCGACAACAGCAGCGACAGCTGTCCTGGCCGTAGATGCTGCTATCTCTGCTGTAGATGATGCTGTTGTCGGGCTGTCTGGTGCTATGCGAACTGTAGTTGTATTGTAGTTGACAAAATAATGTTAGCCTGTTGGTGTTGTCCGTATGGAGCGAGTGTTGTTAGGCTGTCGTTGCTATCGGTAGCTGCTGCTGTCATGCTGTTGCGAGCGCTATGCCGACTGAGATGACTGTTGTTATTATCACGCTGTACTTGCGATGGTCGCTGTTGCCAGGCTCGATCCGCTGCTAGCTATGGCAGCTCTCGGCTGCGGCTGTTCCTGGCACCCCCCCCCCACACATGTGGCACATGCAAAACTATCCGATTATAAGTGCTCGCAGATTCGCGAAGAGTGGGCGCGTTTAAACTTAATAATTTCACATTATTAATCATTTGCCGAATATATATTGAACGCGATTTAAATGTCTTATTTTTTGCAATGTTTATAATTTTGGAAAACAGCTTTGGTCTTCCCAATATTCTACTATCAATAACGAATGTGCGGACGCGGAATCTGCGCGCTGCTGTGAGCAATGCAATAACACCCGCCAAATTCATAAGGGAGAGGAGAGTTTCCGTGAGGCAGAATGGTGCGTGTTGTGTCTCCTGTGTGTGTTGTGTGTGTTGTGTCTCCTGTGTGTGTTGTGTCTCCTGTGTGTGTTGTGTCTGTTGTGTGTGGTGTGTCTCCTGTGTGTGTTGTGTCTCCTGTGTGTGTTGTGTCTGTTGTGTGTGTTGTGTCTCCTGTGTGTGTTGTGTGTTGTGTCTCCTGTGCGTGGTGTGTCTCCTGTGTGTGTTGTGTCTCCTGTGTGTGTTGTGTCTCCTGTGTGTGTTGTGTCTGTTGTGTGTGTTGTGTCTCCTGTGTGTGTTGTGTCTCCTGTGTGTGTTGTGTCTGTTGTGTGTTGTGTCTACTGTGTGTGTTGTGTATCCTGTGTGTGTTGTGTGTGTGTTGTGTCTCCTGTGTGTGTTGTGTCTGTTGTGTGTGTTGTGTCTCCTGTGTGTGTTGTGTGTGTTGTGTGTTGTGTCTCCTGTGTGTGTTGTGTATCCTGTGTGTGTTGTGTGTGTTGTGTCTCCTGTGTGTGTTGAGTCTCCTGTGTGTTGTGTCTGTTGTGTGTTGTGTCTGTTGTGTGTTGTGTCTGTTGTGTGTGTTGTGTCTGTTGTGTGTGTGTTGTGTATGTTGTGTGTGTTGTGTCTGCTGTGTGTGTTGTGTCTCCTGTGTGTTTTGTGTCTGTTGTGTGTGTTGTGTCTGTTGTGTCTCCTGTTTGTGTTGTGTCTGTTGTGTGTGTTGTCTCCTGTGTGTACTGTGTCTGTTGTGTCTCCTGTGTGTGTTGTGACTGTTGTGTGTGTTGTGTCTGGTGTGTGTGTTGTGTGTGGTGTGTCTCCTGTGTGTGTTGTGTGTGTTGTGTCTCCTGTGCGTGGTGTGTCTCCTGTGTGTGTTGTGTGTGTTGTGTCTCCTGTGTGTGTTGTGTCTGTTGTGTGTTGTGTCTCCTGTGTGTGTTGTGTCTGTTGTGTGTGTTGTGTCTCCTGTGTGTGTTGTGTCTGTTGTGTGTGTTGTGTCTGTTGTGTGTGTTGTGTCTCCTGTGTGTGTTGTGTGTCTTGTGTCTCCCGTGTGTGTTGTGTCTCCCGTGTGTGTTGTGTCTCCTGTGTGTGTTGTGTCTCCTGTGTGGTGTCTGTTGTGTGTGTTGTGTCTCCTGTGTGTGTCGTGTCTGTTGTGTGTGTTGTGTCTGTTGTGTGTGTTGTGTCTCCTGTGTATGTTGTGTCTGTTGTGTGTGTTGTGTCTCCTGTGTGTGTTGTGTCTTCTGTGTCTCCTGTGTGTGTGTCTGTTGTGTCTTCTGTGTCTGTTGTGTCTCCTGTGTGTGGTGTCTCCTGTGTGTGTTGTGTCTTCTGTGTCTCCTGTGTGTGTGTCTGTTGTGTCTTCTGTGTTGTGTCTCGTGTGTGGTGTCTCCTGTGTGTGTTGTCTCCTGTATGTTGTGTGTTGTGTATCCTGTGTGTTGTGTCTGTTGTGTGTGTTGTGTCTCCTGTGTGTGTTGTGTCTCCTGTGTGTGTTGTGTCTGTTGTGTGTTGTGTCTCCTGTGTGTGTTGTGTCTTCTGTCTCCTGTGTGTGTGTCTGTTGTGTCTTCTGTGTCTGTTGTGTCTCCTGTGTGTGGTGTCTCATTTGTGTGTTGTGTCTTCTGTGTCTCCTGTGTGTGTCTGTTGTGTCTTCTCTGTCTGTTGTGTCTGTCTGTTGTGTCTGTGTGTGTTGTGTTTCCTGTGTGTCTTGTGTCTGTTGTGTCTTCTGTGTCTGCTGTGTGTGCTGTGTCTCCTGTGTCTGCTTCGTCTGCTGTGCCTTTTTTGTCTTCTGCGTCTACCATTGGTCGCTGGCAACAGCAGGCCCGCTCCTTATGCCATCGCTTGCTGTTCCCAGGACTATGCGTGCTCAACAGTTGTGGCTGAGTGGGGGCAGCAGACAACAGCAGGGCTCTAAGGAGTACAGCAGTCAGCGTGCCAGTCATAAACACACAGCTGTGTCACACTTAATTGTACTGCTGTGCCAGCCTTAAGGTCATTGTTGCTGTGTCAGTCATAGGCTCGGTCATTGGCTTCGCTTATTGCTGTGTCAGTCATCATCCTATTGCCGTGTTCATTATAATTGCATTGCTGTGTCAGTCAAAAGCTTACTGCCGTGTTATAATTGCATTGCCGTGTTAGTCTTGAGTTCATTGCTTTGTCAGCCATCAGCTTTCCTGCTCTGTCAATTATTGCTTTGCGGTTATAATCAGCCGTGAGCTCGCTGATGCGTCCTTGAGCTCATTGTTGCGTAAGCTATCATTTTATTTTCTCTGTCGGTCATAAGCTCCTTGCTTGCGTGAGTTTGAAGCTCACTGCTGTTGTCAGTCTTTAGTCGTGGCACGCCTGCCCAGTGACCCGTGTCAGTGCCTCTCGCTGCAAATCGTCGACCTGTGTTTGTTTTCAGTCGAAGAAAAGGGGCCTGAGTTCGGAGGAAAAGCGAACGAAAATGATGGAGATATTTTTCGAAACGGTGTGTGGATTATTATAATTATGCCGGTCATGTTTACAATCTTTATATTGTGTCCTTGTCGTCCTTTGCTAAATGACGGCACCAACAACAATTGTCCAAGCTCTGCAGTCCTATAAATAACTAAATTAAACCTCAACACATTCGTCAATAACACCGTGGCCTGAAAAAGGAAAATATATAACAGGCGACGTTTTGGGAAAATAGCTCCAGTCATAGCATGTGTGCCAACGCGGTGTCACCAAATAATTTGTCTAAATATGAAGATTGTTTGATAGTCAAGCTGATATATTTTTAATTCTCAGAGTTATAAATTGGAAAAATCAAATGGAAGGCCAAATGTTGAGCTGTGCGGTCTCAGAGGGTTTGGCGCTGTCCTTGTCCGTCTACAGAAGGACGTGTTCCAGCTGAAGGACTTGGAGAAGATCGCTCCACGGGAAAAGGGCATCAGTGCGTCCAGCTTAAACGTTCTTGCACTCCCCAAACAGCACTCATCATCTGCCTCCTCTTCCTCCATCATCATCATTGTCATCATTACACGGGCTGTGGCGTGGTGTGTGTATGACGCAGCGTGTGTGACTGCGGTGTGTGGCCGGTTTTCTGTGCCCAGTGTGTGTGGAATGGAGTGTGTGTGACGCGATGTGTGCCTGGCACGGTGTGCGTGCCTGGCGTGCGTGACGTGGAGTGTGGCGTGCCACGTGACCCGGTACACAATGTGCGCCTGGCATGCTGAGTGACGTAATCTGTGTGATGCGATGTGTGACTTGCACGGTGTGTGTGATGCAATGTGTGTGATGCAGCATGTGTGACGTGTGTGCGACGTGCCGTGTGCCCGTGCGCAGCTGCGATGTCGGTGAAGGACGTGCTGCAGAGCGTGGTGGACGATGCCTTGGTGGACACCGACCGCATCGGCACCTCCAACTACTACTGGGCCTTCCCCAGCAAGGCCCTGAACTCCCGGCAGAACAAGCTTATGGCCCTGGAGGCACAGGTGCCACCACTCGCCGCGTGTGTGGGAAAGTTAAATCGTCGTCATCGTCACCACCGTGGGGCGGTGACATGGCGGGGCGGTAGCACGCTAGGCAGTGCATGGGGCCAGCAGAGATTTACGAAACTGTCCAGACGTGCCGCGCCGCGTCTTGGAATGCCCTTGGGAAGGGAGCCGGGGTCGAACCTGTGTATCTTCGTCTCGGCCCGCAGCTGAAAGAGGGGGAGGCGCGGCGCAAGGGCCTACAGGAGAGCGTGGTGAGGGCTACGGCGGGCCGGGAGGACACGGTGAGCGTCGTTTCTCGGCAGGCGGCATCCGACGGCGGTGAAGGCGGACATTCTGCACCGTTTTCGACAAAAACACGACAGCTGAAATCTCGCGCAATCCAACGCGTACATTTTAAAAGCGGAAGGAGCACGCGTTACGCATGAATGGGCACATCTCTGCACAAGTCTGAGTAATCTCCTGCTGCATACCTGAACAGTGAGGCATTGGTGCTCACCTTCCCGTTTATAACCCTGCAGAGCCAATAGTGGAAATTCCACGTTCCTTTGGCATGGGCGAAACTTGCCCGTAGGACGGCCACTGCTGACTTTCCCACAAAGTGGGTATTCATTTTATCGACCCCAGAGGAATGATGTAATTATTCATTATATGTAATTGTTGTTATAGCAATAAGTCAAAAAACATCTAAGTCTGTGCTCTCTGGTGTGCCAAGTGATGGAGCTTTGTGCTTGCCCAGTCCTGGTCAGCCTGGCTCACAAACTCAGTCCGTCTGATGCACGACGTTCGGGTCGCCTTTTTTGAAAACCTGAACGTAGAGTGAAAAGTAATATCCTATAAGTGACCATTATATAACCTGAGATGCGTGGCCCAAAACCTACTAAAATAACGCCTTTCTACACAACTAAGATACATTTATGCATACATATGGAGAATATTAACTTGGGCAGGTCATTTACTCACCAAAACTGGAGCACGTCAAGTGAGGTGATGCTGTGCTAAGGGGTTGGGGGGGTGAGGGATGGGCAGTAGGAGTGCCTGCCTCGCTTTGTGGGTCATCTAACGTAATAGCAAAACTAACGTGACGTAACCTGATAAAAACAAAGGTGTTAAGTTATGACGAACGCAATAACGGATCATTGTATAATATCGGGGTACGCCCGTAAACAAAAATGATGACTGGCTTAGTCAAACCCCCGCCAGTCCAAGACTTGAACTCACAATCGTTCTCACTATGAGCCGCTCGCCTTGCCGCTGAACCTGCTGGTCAAATAGAAGAAGTCCCTGTACAGCCGTCTGCTAAGGGCTCGGCTGCACTCGCAGCGGTGACGGTGTTACAGCTTGGGGGGGGGGGGCGTCTCACCACGGCCTGTGTGAGTATTGATGGTGCCGCCTTCCTTTGCCACTCTCATCGTCCCTTCTCGCTGGCCACAGGAGGAACGCGCCGAGCTGCTGCAGGAGCTGGCGCGGCTGCGCTCCTACAAGGAGAAGCTGCAGGCTGAGCTGGATAAACATCGCGAGTGCGACCCCGAGGTCGTCAGCGGCCTCCGTGAGTGACTGAACACACGGTCCTTCTCACCGTGGCGGCTACGCTGCACGTGGCCGCCTGTGATCCAGCACTGTGGAGGCGTAGAGGGTTGGTGGAGTGGATACATGACAAAATGTTGCCAGATTCCCTTCCTATGAACATCGAGCTGCAATGTCCTCACTCGCCAGCCGAATGCAGTGCAGCAAAGTGTGGACGGATCGCTATCTGTTTCCATCTCTACGTGATAGCATATTGCCCCCTCGCACGTGTGGTTTTTCTCCAGGCGCTTTGGTTTCCTCTCACGTGTAAATACCCATTAATTGGGCGATAGCACCTTAATATATAGAGGACCACAGAGCTTGGGGGGGAATTTCGTGCCTATTCATTCATGGTTCCTCCTCGCACCTCTGAGTCATCCTCTATCTTCGAGAGGGAGCGCTGTGCAGCAGCGACAGAGCGCTACGAGTTGTCATTATTATTATTTGACCCAGTACTTCACTTCGGTAATTGTTGTGCATTGACGGAAGGTGGCGGGAGAAGCAAAGATGTGACAATGTGGAAGTTCAGTACAACAATGGAATTTTGCCGCACTGCCCTGTGCTGTTCACAGTGGCCTGTCACCTTGCTGTAAAGAGACATCATCATCTTCCTCTTCCCTCCTTCTCTCCGCAGGAAAAGAGAACGAGATAGCCAAGGATGCCGCTAACAGATGGACAGGTATCGTACTTATCTTGTCCACGTCAATAAGTGGTATGCTGGCTCACGAACAGCACTTACCCCAGAAGGCTGTTAAAGCTATAGGGGGCGATCTTTTTAATGTAAGCGTCTCTCTGTGCTTGTACTTTTCTTTTTGTGAGTGCAGACAATGTGTTCTCCATCAAGTCGTGGGCCAAGAGGAGGTTCGGGCTGGAGGAGGATCAACTGGACAAGTCCTTCGGGATTCCTGAGGAGTTTGACTACATCGAGTAACGATCGGGGATTTGTCCCAGCCGGCACACCACGTCCAGTATACCCCTCCTCTTGGCCGCGGCTACTCGTCGCAGCCAAAGTGGACAGCAGCATGAATCCCACGTGGAGCCCTCTTGATGAGTTGACGACACGTGGTGTTTTCCCGGTTGGCCCGTCTATTTCTCCGACGCGTGTTCATGCTGTACCGCATCGTCGTTCAGTGTGATGTCCGACGTTTCCTTCCACGCACCGGGAGCCAAATTCAGTTCCTGCAGAAGCTGTCGGCACGAGGACTGGAACGTCATCGACGCCGTTCCCTTCGTCTCCGCGCGCTTTCCCACATCTTTGACTTCCTAATTTAGACCTCGTCCCCTCCTCTGCTCCCATCTCTTCCAAGTGGTCACCTTGCCAGCGTGGAAGAGTAGGCCAACTACCATCTAGAGCTACGGCCGGTGGAAGCAACGCCCGCCAGCAAGGGGCGTGTACAAGCCATTGCAGGGCTGCACCTGTGTCTCGACCAACTGCAGGCTCTGCCAGAAATTAATGAATCCCTGGTGACCACCAAAGCCTTTGACAGGCCACTTGCCTGTGGTGGACACGGTGGGTGGAGGTAGCGGTGTTTCACTCCTTCCACACCCGTGCGTGGCGATTCCGCGACTCGCTCTGGGTGGTGGCTCTGACCCTGACCAAAACCTGAACCCTATCCGTGACCTTATCTCAAAACCCGATTCGCCTGACCCTTATCCTGCCCATCCTGTTGTACCCATACATAGTTGCGTCTCGATCGATTCAATTGGCAGCAACGGTGTTTTTAACAATGGGGGGGGGTGTTCTGGGCTTTTCGCATTTGTGAGTGCTGGTTGTGAGGGCCTATAAGGACGCTTTTGTTTAAACGTGTGTGTGCTCATATGTGTCCATGTGTGTTTTCACGGTTGCGCTATCTCTCCGATGCATTTTTCGGATCGTGCCGCTTACGTGTTGTTCGGGCACGGTGTCCGATGTTTCGCTCCACATGCTGGCTAATTGTTCAGGAACTGAATCGCATCAGAGAGCTGCTGCGCGTGAGTGAGACTGCACCTCTGTGTTGATTGATCCATGGACCGGAGCAGACATTCAGCTGAGGTTCCAGCTCGGCACCATCGTTATTCTATCATCTGATATCTCCACTCTTTTCAAGAGGTTATCATTAATTCACTGTTGTTGGCCACGTAAAGGAATTGGGACCTCTAAGGTTACACCACCTCTGGTGGAACCGACAACATTAAATATCTGAAAACAAACTCAACACATTCTTCATTAACACTGTGTGTGCGGCCTTAAAATAAAACAAATGTAATAAAAGACGTTTCGGGCATTGGTCCTCCTCCGATGTAATATATTGACGAATATGTTGAGTTTTTTATTTGTTTTATTTTATTCACTGTGCTCGTACACCACTGTCCACGCAGCAGCAGCCCCAACTCATTTGATAGTAAATGATCTGGCCCTGGGCTCATGGACATAAATATACCACGTGTAGATTCTAGCAGAAGGAAGGAAGCGATGACACGTGTGATGGCATCAGTGACCCTTAACATGATGACGTCTTGACCTTATCTTGTGTGGTTTTTTTTTTTACGGGAGCGGTAGTGGAGTGCTGAGCACGCTCTGAACCTGGCAACCCAAAGTTAATTCCGCTCTCTGCCAACACCAGGGACGATTATCTGAATCAGTCCTGGGCGTCCCCTAGGTCAACTTGGCCTCAAATGAGTACCTGCTGCGATGTATAAACATCACTCGAGAGACAAAGGCGGCCAGGCGTGGTTCTGGCCGCCCACTCCTTCGTGTACCATGCCGGCCTTTATAGTTTCTTGCTAATATTACTTGCCCCCAACAGTTTGTTGAGACTATACAGCGGATATTTGTATTGTTGGCAAACAAAGATAAACCTATTTCCATTGTTTGACTTTTACGAAATTCCTTTGAAATGTTGATGTTCATATCACCAGGTATAGTTGCAACCGTATCTCATGACCCTGTCCAGAATAGCAATGAGTAGGACATGCGCGTCACAGAGAAAGGAGGCATTTAATTATTTACTGTGAAGGCGCTGTCAGGCAAATGAGAAGGGGGCAGTCTTCACGAGACGGCCTCAAGGTGCACCTAGCCTGGCACAAGCGTCATGTGAACGCGACCGCCACTTTGTTGTTGGTGTGTGCGGCCAGATTTGCAGAACTTTACTGATGTCACCGAGCACAAGTTTTGGATGCGTCTTTCCAACACGTCTTATAATTCTTGGAATGTGGTGCTAATCTCTATCCAAACCGGCTCAAGCTTCTTATAAATCTCCTCGCCGCCTGCTGTGAAAACAGACGCTCACTCCTGCTCGCTCCTGCCTTTCTTCCCTCCTCCCACATCATCATCACCGCCCTCTCGTCATCTCCGTCATCTCGGCCCGGTCATTCATCCTCTCTTCCTACTGCTCATCTTGAGCTGTGCCCTCGTCTTTGTCCGTCTTGGGGGACTACCATCCCGGCATCCCTTCCCTCTCCCATCCGTTTCTCCGTGTGCCGAGCGTTACGTTATTGCCTTCTCTACTACTCCTCCTCACGTACAACGTGTTGTTATATTCACGGCATGCGGGCATGCCCCGGGCGTGTGTTTGCGGGGGTGTGTGTGTTGCAGTGTTCATATACACCGGCTCCAGTTTAACAGCAGAGATCTCACTCCGAATCAGTCGAGCGGCAATATCTTTTCATCGGTTGCGTAACGCTGTGTGGAAGCTACCTGGTCTGTCGCTCCGCACTAACCTTCAGGTCTTCTCGGCCACGGTCATTCCCTCCCTTCTCTACGCTTGCGAAACGTGGACCCCCCTAATGGAACATCTTCGCCGGTTAGAAACATTTAGGCTGGCCTGCCTACGAACCATCCTGGGTTTGACCAGATTGGATTGTGTGAGGAGCTCACAAATCCTTGAAAGATCTGGGCAAGGTCCCATCGGTGAGCTCCTCTGGTGGGCAAGGCTGCGATGGCTGGGTCATGTAGCCCGCATGCCCAGCCACCGCATGCCGAAACAGCTTTTGTTCGGCCGGATCGAGGGGGCTAAACGGGCGCGGCACGGGCTAGAGAAGAGATGGAGTGATGTGGTACAGGAGGACGTGGAGCTGAGTGGACTTGCCGATGACTGGTACCAGCGGTGTCAAGATCGGCCTCTGTGGAGGAGGCTCGTGAAGGACGCTCCTGGGCAGTTGGAGGTAGTCGCCCTCCAACAACAACGGAGGGCGGAGGAGCGACGCTCACAACAACGAGCGGAGCGCTGGGTGGCTAAAGCACAGCAGGTTGGCACAGTAGGGGGCACAGGTGGTGCATCAGCCAGTCATCTCAGTCAGTCGACCCGTGGCACCTGGGTCTGCCCCGTGACCTGCCAGCTGGCGTTCGACGCTCCACGTGGCCTCAAGATGCACATGTCCTGGCACAAGCGTCGTGGTGACGGCACCGCCACTTAGTGGCGAATGGCGGTTATATACACAATGCCTTAAACTGAGTACCTGGTGCGCCGTGTGTAATCATCGACACTGGGGAGACAAAGGGGGCCGGGCGTGGTGTTGGTCACCCACCCCCTCGTTACCTCGTGTGCCGTGCCGGCCTTCGTAGGTGCTCGCCAATCGCACTTGCGCCAAAACCCTGTTAAAGGCGACATGGGGACATTTTTTTGCAGTATTCATTGCAGGAATACTATGGTGTGTTTAAAAAAAAGTACCGTGCGATGTGTCTGTGAGTCATGAGAGACGAAAGACTGCTGATGGGTTTAGGGTTAGGTCCCGGTTGCTGATGCACTTTAGTGCGCCCCTTTGAAACGTTGGCATTAACCATTAACCATGCCATGTCCTCAGGGTGCCTTCGTCTGGCTCTATGAGATATTGGCATTCCACATCATTGTGCATCATCATCATCATCAGTCGTGAAATATCCACTGCTGGATGAGAACCTGCCCCCAAATCCGTCGCCATCTGTCACGGTCATACGAGTCCATTCCATCGCTCCGTCTCCACGGGGAGCGCTCCTCTCGGTTGGTGATCGCTCCGCTGGCTCCTGCGTCGCCCTTAGTCTCGATGACAATTCGTAGGCGCCAGTCCCTTGCTTTACGAACGTCTCCCGGTGGCTTGTCGGTCATGGAGGCCTATGTGGCCATACCGCACCTACCTGCTCAGTGGCGACTTGTTTTGTGTACATCATTGCTCTACACTTGATGTTCGCCGTGGCTAGAAATCGAACTCAGGTACCCGAGTTCCTAGCCCAGTGCGCTAACCACTGCGCCACCTCTCCACAGCGTGTTGTGATTGATGTCGAGTCTCGTGGTGGTGGTGTCGGAGCGCGCACGTGTCCATGCGCGATGGAAAATGCACGCAGCCCGCAGCGCGCAGCTCGATCGTGGAATTTGTGGAATGAACCGGCCGTTAAAGTGACTATAATGGTCCTCTTTAATCCGTGAATTCCTCACCGAGTCTCACAATCCCGGTGATTTTGACTTATTTTGTATCTATCATCATTGAATCATTCATTATCCATACATTATAATTGATGATCGTCATATATGTATTAATTATTTAAATTATTTTGCACCGTGCGTAGCCAACCGTGCTAATACATCAATCACTCATCTACCCATCCATAATAATCCACCAATCACCCACCACATCCATTCATCGCAAATACATTTCCATAAATCATCATCAAATCATGTGGCATCCACTACCATCATCCGTCACTCGTCTCCCCGTGCCATCGTTCCCTGCATGATGCGAGTGGCTGGATGGCAGTGGGCGCGGTGTGCTCGCTCACCTTGGCGCACGAGGGTCTCAGGTGAGCGCGGAGAGGGAGGGGGGAGGAGTAAGAGGAGGAAACGAGAGGGAGGGAGTGTTCCGAGAGGGAGAGAGAGAGGCGGGTCCTGCTCTTTGTGCTCAAAGTCATCGCCATCGCCTGGATTACTTCGCGAAAGCGCCGTGCTCTCTCGCTCTCCCGGGAGAGGAGAAGGGAGAGGGAGGGGATAGGAGAGAGGGAAAAGGAGAGGATAGCGTCCCTCGGAGCCACCATGAGCCAGCTCGCGAGCAAGTTGCGCACACTGGCGCAGAGACGAGAGGTGAGTGGGTGGCTCATAGCGACTCACTCCGACCATACACTCACTCGTAGCGACTATACAGACTCGTAGCGACTCACTCCGACTATAAAACAACGATGCTCTGTATATACTTAAACTTTTTTGGAGCAAGTGGTGTCAGCGAGCATAGCACACAAGGGGTGCCTTTGTCTCCTCAGTGGGGATGTTTACACACCACACCAGGTACTCATGTGAGGCTGAGTCGACTTAGGGGAGGTCCAGAACCGGTTCAGATAATCGTCACTGGTCTGAGCGGGAATGGAACTCGATTCGCCGGGTTCGTAGCGTAGCGCGCTCACCGTTACTCTACCGCGCCTCTTTAATGCCTACACACATCCTCATATACACATACACAGCCATACACACCACATTCATACACAGGCCGACTCACGCACACTTGTACGCAGACATCACACGCAGGCACGCACACTCACGCGTACGTATCCACACGCCGACTGGCGCGCACACAGACAAGGATAAAGATCCTCCATATAGCCTTAACAGACTGTAGGGGCAAGTGCTGTTAGCGAGCACCTATGAAGGCCGGAACGGTACACGAGGGGGTGGGTGGCCAGCACCACGCCCGACCTCCTTTGTCTCCCTAGTGGCAATGTTTACACACCGCACCAGGTACTCATTTGAGGCTGAGTCGACCTAGGGGAGGCCCGGGACCGGTTCAGATAATCGTCACTGGTGTTGGCCGTGAGCGGGAATCGAACCCAGGTCGCCAGGTTCATAGCGCAGCGCGCTAACCGCTACACTATCGCTCCCCACACACAGACACACACGTACACGCACACACAGACGCACACATACACGCGGGCGTGCACACAGGGCGCCTTAACGTATCCGCCTCGGGACATCTCCGTGAATGTGATTCAAATATACACACGCGCAAGCATCTCTGTGTGCAGTCCATCTCATCTCCATCTCATCTTCATCTCATCATCTCCGGAGCCGCGTGACGATGGCAGCCTCGTCACGTGGTGCGCGCCCGTGTACAGTGCCGCTCACTTTACCTGCGAGTCCGGCTCTCACCTGTCTGAGCCTGTGAGCGTGAACCTGTGTCTGAAGCGCACGTGTCCCTCACGTCGTGTCCCTCACCTGTGTCTCACCTGTGTCTCACCTGTGTCTCACCTGCGTGTCACCTGTCCCTCACCTGTGTCTCACCTGCGTGTCACCTGTGTCTACACCTCACCTGTGTATCTGAACCTATGTCTGAACCTCGCCTTTCTTACCTTTCTCTCAGCTGTATTATGCCTGTCTGATTCTCACCTTTGTCTCACCTGTGTATCTCACCTGTCTGTCTGCATCTCTGCGTTTCACCTGCGTATCTAATCTGTGTCTAACATGTGTATCTGAATCTCACCTGTGTATCTCACCTGTCTGTCTGAATCTCTGCGTTTCACATGCGTATCTAATCTGTGTCTAACATGTGTATCTGAATCTCACCTGTGTATCTCACCTGTGTCTGAAACTCATTCGTATCTTATCCATGCCTCTCACCTGTATACCACCTATGTATCTAAACCTCACCTGTGTATTTCAGCTGCAAGGCTTAGCTTCACACGCTCACACGCATAGCAATTAATATTATATTATCACGCATGCATCCGCTAGAGGCCGCTACGTTAGCCAAATCTTCAATCATCATAGGTCATGATCTATCGGCCGTTGGATGAAGACTTCCCTAAGCCTGAGCGAATGGGGGATGGGGGGGAGTAGCTGGTGGGAGTTAATGAATAAACCTTTATTAAGGATTAAGAGTCGGTGGTTTCCTGCTCAATCGAGCGTGGAGGCGTTGCTCGCTTTGTTACAGCCTGGAGCCGGTAGTGGAAATTCCACATTCCTATGGCGAGGGCGGGCTAAGAAGCAGCACACATTTTCGAGAGGCGAGTGAGAAGAGAGGGGAGAGGCAGGAGAGCGCGTGGAGGGGAGTGGTGAGATGAGAGCTTAGAGCGGGGCATGGAGGGCTGAGTGAGATGTTGAAGTTGGACCGGGATCGTACCGGGAGCAGTGGTGGCGGAGTGCTGGGGTTCGTGGGGGGTGGAGCCGGTGACAGCGGCTGAGATTTCATCATCGCTCATCGATGGGTCACTCTGCTGGTGTCTGCATTCCTCTGCGACTCGCATAGTTACATATAAACACGGTGGCACGCGGCCGTGGACAAGGCGAGATAAGAGTGCGTTCCCTCTTTCACCTTCACGGGCCGGTTTCCGTGTTTACCGATCTGCACTCTCCTTCGTCAATCGCACCATGACCTTAAAATAAAAGCATTAAATACGCGACGTTTCGGGCAACGGCCCTGCTAACGAGCACACTAAACCATATCTTAGAGTGCTATGAAGGCTATATTCTTCTTTGGTTTTTTTCGGTAAAGTCACGTAGAATGAGAATAAAATAATAAATTGATAAAATAAAATAACATAATAAAATTCTCACGACGTTTCGGCCACAACACAAGCGGCCTTCATTAGGTGAAGAGACGAGACTGTCTGGAGGACAGCGCTGGAGCGAACACAGCCAAGCTCAGACCGCGACCTTTAAGCTGTGTGAGAAGAAACAGAGCGCCTTGACAAAGGAATTAGCATAGAATTTAGCATTGAAATAGCTGAGTGATTAGCTTGTGACTGGTCACAGAAATGGCTATGTTAAGTCCAAGCATACACATCCACAGAGGCACCCCTTGACAAAGGAATTAGCATTGAATTTAGCATTGAAATAGCTGAGTGATTAGCTTGTGACTGGTCACAGAAATGGCTATGTTAAAGTCAAAGCATACACATCCACAGAGGCACCTAGTACAAATCAAACAGGAGAATTTAGCATTTAAATAACTGAGGGATTAGCTTGTGACTGGTCCTAGAAATAGTTATGTTAAAGTCAAAGCCTACATATCTACAGAGGCACCTAGTACAAATCAAACAGGAGAATTTAGCATTGAAATAGCTGAGTGATTAGCTTGTGACTGGTCACAGAAATGGCTATGTTAAAGTCAAAGCTTACACATCTGAGCTATTAACAGTAACTAGGTATACACTACACTATATAATGAATACTATATAGTAAACCAATAAAAAACTAAAATATAAATGACCTCAATGTTATCAATAAACTCTATATATTCTCCAATCAGCTAAGCTACCAACAATAAGTCGTTATATATCACAATGCTATATGGCGAAAAAAAAAGGTGGATTCTTACCCTCAACTTTAGTGTTTTTATTGGTTTACTATATAGTATTCATTATATAGTGTAGTGTATACCCAGTTGCTGTTAATAGCTCAGATGTGTAGGCTTTGACTTTAACATAGCCATTTCTGTGACCAGTCACAAGCTAATCACTCAGCTATTTCAATGCTAAATTCTCCTGTTTGATTTGTACTAGGTGCCTCTGTGGATGTGTATGCTTTGACTTTAACATAGCCATTTCTGTGACCAGTCACAAGCTAATCACTCAGCTATTTCAATGCTAAATTCTATGCTAATTCCTTTGTCAAGGCACTCTGTTTCTTCTCACACAGTTTAAAAGTCGCGGTCTGAGCTTGGCTGTGTTCGCTCCAGCGCTGTCCTCCAGACAGTCTCGTCCCTTCACCTGATGAAGGCCGCTTGTGTTGTGGCCGAAACGTCGTGAGAATTTTATTGTGTTATTTTATTTTATCAATTTATTATTTTATTCTCATTCTACGTGACTTTACCGAAATAACCAAAGAAGATGAATCCTTGCAGTCACGAAAGCTTTAAATCGAAAAATGAAGGCTATTGTTCCACATGTGCTATGAAGGCCCATTTCCCGAAACGTCTTATAAATATACGGATTCAGAAACCTTCCTCCCATAAGACAAAGATCCCCCGTATAGCCTTTAACAGACTCACGGGCCAAGTGCCGTTAGCGAGCGTGCACCGATATCAAGGACGGCACTTCGGCACACGAGTGGGTGGCATGGTCAACACCGCGCCCGGCCGCCTTTGTCTCTCCGGTGATGATTGATGTTTTGCACACCGCATCAGGTACCGATTTAACGCCGAGTCGACTTAGGGAAGGCCTAGGACGGGTTAAGATATTTGCTGTCACCGTTACAGTTGCTGCTGCTGCTGCCATGCGTTCGAATCGTTCTCTGTTCGCCGTGTTTGCAACGCAGTGCCCTAACCACTGCGCCACCGCTCCTCGTGTCCTCGCGCGCACAGCTCTCCCGAGCCCCGAGTCCCATCGGCACGTCGGAGACCCCGGCCAGACCCCCGCTCGCCGCCCCCTCCGCTCCGAGCCCGGGGGGGGACCCCGACCAGCAGGGCGAGGTGGGCGGTGGCGTGAAGCGTTTCGAGGTCCTCTACGTGGGACGCCTCGCAGTGGGGGGCAAATTGGGCCCCCCCTCGCTTGTCGACGACAGCATCACGGCGCTGCACTGGCGCTACGGCGCTGAAGGGGACAGCTCCCCGGAGGACCCCTGCGAGCCCGGTCGAGACCCCTTCGAAGCCGACCCCCCCGACCCCGCGGGGAGCCCGGGCGGGCCCCGTGGAGGGCAGAGTTCGGGGTCCAGGAGGAGTAAGCTGGACACGCAGAGGGACCGCACGATGCTATTCCAGGTGCTTTAGCTTCGTGTGTTGTTTTATATATTTGTATATATTGGCGCGTTCCCACTCAGGTTGAATTGTGTGTTGGAGTCGCTCTGCCTGCCCGCGTGTCCGTCTGTCTGGAGTTCCCAGTCAACGTGCAACGTCAGGCAAACATTCACACGTGGTTGGAACCGTTGTTTCTACTCATCCCATCAAGCAAAATTCTGCGCCGGTTTCGACATTCAGTCTGTCGTCAGCAGCCGAGTGAGATTTGCTTGGACCCATGCTGGTGAACCGCCGATCGTCCCCGGCCAGGAGGAGCCCAGAGCATAAAGAGAGGAAGTGTCCTTGCCTCGTTTTGCTTGAGCTTGCTTGTCTGGAATCAGTGCTGCTGAAATTGTGCATGTCCATAAGGAAGGCCGTGCGGCTGATGGGATGTGTAAGGGGTTCAGGTGAGGGGGGAGTGGGTGAGAAGGAGGTGAGGTTGGGGGTGGGTGGGTGGGGGGGACACGTGACCGTGAGATTTCAGGGAGGCATCCTCGTGGGAAATTGCGATTATTGAGGCACGGGCCACGAGCCAGAATCTCGATGTCTCGAGGGAGCGAATCTGACCACTCGCATACACAGTGTGAGTGATGGGGTGAGTGCTACTGTGGTGTGGGTGATGTGCTGAGCGAGTGACGGAGTGAGTGGATGGTGATACGAGTGGGCGATAGGGCGAGTGGGTGATGGAATGCGTGCGTGATGCTATGAGCGGATGATGTGAGAGTGATGTTATGGGTGGGTGGTTTGAGTGAGTGACAGTACGAGTGTTGATGGGGTTGGTGAGCGATTTGGGTGAGCGAATGGTGTGGTGAGTGGGTAATGTTGCAAATGGGTGAGTGATTGGGTGGGTAACATTGTGTGTGTGTTTGGAAGGGAAGAGTGTGTGAGTGATTTTGTGAGCGAGTGGTCGAGTGGCCCCGTGCACCTCGTCCCCAGGTGGGCGAGGCGTACGTCACTCTGGTGAGTCCCGACTGCAAGGGCGTGGTGCTGGAGAGGTCTTTCCAAGACATCTCCTACTGCTCGCGGGTCAGGAGACACACACGTACACCACACACACACCACACACACACCACACACACACACACCTACAGAAACAACCCCTTACCCAAGCCACCACTATACAGGTCACGTGATCACGTGGCCATTATGAACCGCGATTTACACCACTAATCAACTTGGCAGGCTCAGCCGGGGGAATGCCGCTCACTTGGCTCCCCCCTTTTTATTACCCCCCCCGCCCCTTTCCCCTCCACCCCCCAGGGCCTCTCCAGGACCGACCACTTCGGCTTCATCTGCAGGGAGGTGGTCGGGACGGGGCCCACCAGCACGCACATCTGCTACGTGTTCCAGTGTACGGACACGTCACTGGTCAGCCAGCCCCCCCCCTTCCTCCAAACATTCAAAGCCCCCCTATCATCCCCCCCCCCTCCCAGCTGTACGTGTGTGTGCATGTAACCAATTATTGGTATTGGTATGTGTGTGGGGAGCAGGGGTTAGCGCGTAGTGCTATGAACCCGGCAATTCGGGTTCGATTCCCTCTCGGTCAACACCAGTGAAGATTATCTCAATCGGTCCTGGGCCCCCCCTAGGTCAACTCTGCCTCAAATGAATACCTGGTGCGGTGTGTAAACCTCGTCACTGGAGAGACAAAGGCGACCGGGCGTGGTGTGGTGCTGGCCACCCACCCCCTTGTGTAGCCTGCCGGCCTTCATAGATGGTCGCTAACCGCACTTGCCCCAACAGTCTGCGAAGGCTCGAAGGGGATCATTGTTCGTGTATTTGTTATGGGGGCCTCCCCTAGGTCGACTCCGCATTAAATCAGTAACGAGCGCCGTGTGGAAAACATCAGCCCCGGGGGAAGGTGCCCAGGCGTGGTGGCTGATCAGCAACTGTAAAAGTTGCAAAAAAAGTCCTAACCCCCCCTACACCACGTGACTCCCCAGCACCCCCACGAGGACCGTGGTCTTTGTATGTATGAATGTCTTTGTACATGGGTCTCCCCTAGGTCGACTCAGCCTTACATATATGAATACCTGCTGCGGTGTGTAAACATCAGGGAGACAAAGGTGGTACTGGCCACCTACCCCCACGTGTGCCTTTACCACTCATCACTAACAGTAGTTGCCCTTGGATCGCCACGTGTTATACTTCTCCTTTGATCGAGCGGCGCGGATGCGATTCGTCTCTACGGGGGGGGGGGGGGGGGGGGGGGCTTGGTGGGGGGGGGGAATGTGGGCATTTATTTGTGATGCTGGAATTTGTTTGTGATGCATACTTGCGTGCGCGCGCGTGTGTGTGCGCTCATTCCTCCTGATGAATGGGCAGGGGGCAGTCCCATCCCTCCTCGGCCGTAAGATTCACTAAAGAGAGACGGCGAGCGCGAGTGAATCATCCACGCGGCGGGTGACATGGGGGAGAGGTTTGGGGTGGTGGAGTAGTGGGGGGGAGGTGGAGTAGTTGGGGGGGGGGGGGGGGAATAGTGCGGGGGGGGGGGTAGTGTGGGGGGGGGGGTAGTGTGGGGGGGGGGGGGGGGGTCACGCAGCCCCAACCAAACAGAGCAAACCGGTTCCGTGCTCGCCCGCCAGTCTCTCTGCGCTTGCTTGGCCCTCGCTCCCCCCTCGCTCCCGCCCGCGTTTTGCCGTCTCGGGGCTGTGATCGCGACTTGGGCGCGAGCGGCGACTCGGCAGCGGCGCGTTTCTCATCCTCACCACCGCGCGTCCACCCCTCAGTGACCCCCTCCCCCACCCACCCACCCAGCCCTGCCCCCTGCCTGGGTTCGACACCAGGATGAATGTAAGTGCCAACTGCGCACGGCTTGTCGCAGCCCTGTGCTGCTTACTTACAGCTGCTCTCTGTTGTGTTTTCGAGTTGTACTACCGTCCCCACGTGTTTGGTCGGCACGATGTCCGACGTTTCGCTCGTGCTGGCGGGAGGTTGTTCGGCATCATCAGGTGCTTAATAATACGACTGTATACTCAATTAAATAGAAACTAGATATTTGCTGCTGCTGCTGCCGCTGCTACCTTGGTAATGATGCACACACACACAATTAACAAACAACTCATCGGTCAATAACACCGGCCCAATATGAAACTTCGGATACAATTTAAGTGCCACGAAGTAGGGCCATTGCCTGAAACGTCGCCTATTATATATATCTTATTAACGTCACCACACAGTGTTGTTGCTGACGATTGCCTTGAGTCGTTGAAAGATAATGGCTGGGACTGGCTCCAGGTCAGGAGGACTGTAATTTCCATCCCGGGTTTTCCCGGGCCGAGAAATCCATGCGGTCGTTTAGCGGGAGAACCGGTCCGGTTACATCCCTGCAAGTCCTCGCCGCGTGATCAGCGGCAACGTCGCCTCTGCTTGCCCATCGCGCTCCCGATCAACTTCAGCAACCACCGCCTCGTGGCGTCCGCCCTTTGCAATTACGAAACCCCGGAGCGGAGTTCAACGTCCAGCCTGACCTGGCTCCACTCGTCCATCAAATTAAATGTCCAGCACATTGCTCGCTTGCCGATGCTTGCCGAGCTGCTGCATTGGCAGTGGTGTACGAGCACACTTTACAACAACAACAACACAAGTGTGTGTGGACTTAGAAGGAAAACAAGATGTAATACGCGACGCTGCGGGCTATTGAAGGTTGTGCGGAATTTAACACGTTTTGCCACGGAAATTGGTTTGTGTGTGATTCGGTTAAGTGGGACGTCCGTGTTGCTCCAGGTTCTTTGTAGGTTGCAGAGTCTCTCCGCTTGTGATCAAATCACGTAGAGCTAAGGAGGTTCGAGCCTGGGTAGTGCTTGGATGGGCCACTAACAGTGCCCAAACAGCCGTTCTAAAAGCACTCGGCACACTCGTCAACAACAACGCCGCGTGTGTGGCCTTAAAAGGAAGAAAAACATACATACTAGGCGACGTTTTGGGCAATGCCCCTTATTCATGTGCTATGAAGAAGAGCCATTGCTCGAAACGTCGCTGTGGGGCCTTGGGGCACCACTGTCAACGCAGCAGCAGCAGCACCACCAAGTGTTATGTTCAGCAGGTGCTGTGGGCGTTTTGGGGGCTAGGTAGTGGGCAGCAGAGGGCAGTGCAGCAATATGAGTTTGTTGTCTTGCACGGTACTGCTATGCTCGCCGCCTTCACCCACCGGCACTGACTGGCGAGCGAGCTGGGCGAGCGTGCGCGGTTCGTCCTCCTCCTTTCACTCCGCGACGGAGGAGGAGGATCAGCAGCAGCGCACGCACGCAGGCCAGCGCCCCCGAACAGATGTCACGCACGGCGTTTCAAGTCACTCATTCATGTGCTGACCTTTACCCAAGCGAGGAGGGCCTTTGAGAGTCCTCGTGTGTTTACTCCAGCCCAGTGGGGTGGGGGGGGGGGCTGTGTTACGCGCGTGCTCGTGGGGTTTCGGGTTGGAAGCGACACTGCGTGCTCATTGGCTCGGGTACGCAGGTGAGGGGGGGGGGGTAACGTAGTAGGTCCATGTGACAGCAGAGGGCTCACGCTTGGGTAGAGAGACCTGTGCCTGGATCATCTCCTTCTCCTCCTCCTGGTGATGATGATTAAGACCACGATGATGAAGTGCTCGCTCACAGAACTTGCCCTAAAAGTGTGAAAGGCTACACGGAGGATGTGGAGTGGAGTGTCCTTCGTGTAGTGTAGTGGGGGAGGGGGGAGGGGGGGGCGTTAGCGTAGCGGGTAGCGCGCTGCGCGACGAACCTGGCCACCTGAGTTCGATTCCCACCCATGGCCAACATCGGGTGACGAATATCTGAACCTGTCCTGGTCTCTCCTAGGTCGACTCAGCCTTGAATGAATATCTGATGTAGTGTGTAAAACATCAGTCCTGGGGAGACAAAGGCGGCCGGCAGGTCGCGGTTATTGCCACACCACCCCATCGTGCAGTTGGTCCGGCCTTCACCGGTGCTCACTAGCAGTACTTGCCCTACCAGCCTGCCACAAGGCTATACGGGGGACCTTTGTCATGTCTTTGTCGTGTCGCCCTGCAGGTGGATGAGATCATGATGACGCTGAGGCAGGCCTTCCAATCTGCGGCCGCCAACAACGTCGCCCGTCGCAGGCCTGGGCCGGAGACGCGGGCAACCACAACCACAACCACCCGGCCAGCACACGGTACGGAACAGGCCGGGAGCCACCCCTACATGCCTGGAGGTGCATGCTCGGATTATACTGCGCGTCGTTTGGTGTAATGTCCGACGTTTCACTCCAGTCTGTTCATCTGTTGATCTGTCCCTATCCGCATTTCCATCAATCCCCCCCCAGCTGGTGTCCATGCGAGGAGGGACGACGCTGGTGGAGGGCGAGGCGTGGAGGGCGACGCGCGCACATGGACGTCCACGCGTCTACGTGCACAGGTGTGGAGCGGGTACGCGCCACGCCGGGTTGTGAAGTCGTGGGCCGCGCGTGGCCCTGTGGGCCCTTGCTGTCCCCACCGCCACGTCACACGCTCTGTGCGGAACAGCGAGCGTCGTTCTCGTCGCGCGTTTGGGTAAAACCACCGCTCCTTCCTGCTTCCTGCTGTGTGCAGGAGCCCACGCGGAGCCACAGAAGCTCGGGCCAGCAGCAGCAGCAGCAAGAGCAGCAGCAGCAGCAGCATCATCAGAGCTCAGGCGGTTTAGGCAAACTGGAATTCCTGAAGAGCAAGGCCTCCAAAGGTCTCGCCACCTCCCTGGAGAACATCTTCTCGGCGCTGGTGAGGGAGTGGGCAGGGGAGAGCCAGTGCAGGGAGGAGAGAGAGAGTTTCTGTGTGGACTGGAGATTGATGCTGCATGGATTTTAGGGCTACGTGAACTGGTCCTGAGCCTCCCCTAGGTCGACTCAGCGTCAAATGAGTACCTGGTGCGGGGTGTAAACATCGCCACTAGGGAGACAATGGCGGTTGGGCGTGGTGCTGGCCACTCACCCCATCATCTACCGTGTCGGCCTTCATTAACAGCACTTACCCCAACAGTCTTTTACAGGCTATACGGGGGGGGTCTTTGTCTTTGTGTATGCATGTGTGTTCGTGTGTGTTCGTGTGTGTGTGTGTTCATATGGGGAGCGGTAGTGCAATGGATAGCGCGCAACAAACCCTGCGGTCCGAGTCCCACCCGTGGCCCCGCGGGCCACATTGGTGACAAATGTGAACCGGTTCTGGGCCTCCCAGCTATGTTGATTAATCAGCACTCAGGATGAGCACTTGCTGTGGAGTGTCACACATCATCACCGGGGAGACAAAGGCGGCCAGGTGTGGTGCTGGCCATGCACCGCCTCGTGTGCCATGCCACCCTTGAGGGTGTTCGCTGGCAACACTTGCCCCAGCAGTCTGTTTGTCTTTGTGTGTGTGAATGGGTGTGTCTCCATGGGGGAGGGTGCAAGTGTGTGAGTGTACAAGTGGGTATCGGCCATCGTCATCATCAGCATGCTTTATCCACTACCGGATAGAGGTCTGCCCAAGCGCGTCGTTCACCCCCTCACGATCCTGCAACGCGTTAACGATCCACGCGGCCGCTTGCAGAACGAGCCGGTTCCACCACTCCACCTGCACGGTTGACGCCCTCCTCCCCCCCACCGCAATGCCTTGCTTCTGCGGGAACAGTGCTGCGCTGATTACCACTGTCACGTGCAGTTTAGTGGAGAGAGCGCTCCGGCCCGGCCACCCTTCACCACTTTGATTCGTAAACTTTGGTTAGAAGCTGTGGCTAGTGAAGGAGCGGGGGGGGGGGTAGAGTCAAGGATGTGATGCATGGGAACGAGGAATGGGTGAGGGAAGAGAGAAAGAATGGGGGATGAGAGGGAAAGGAATGGGGAAAAAGAGGAGGAATAGGAGCACGGGGGTCAGGGATGGAGAGAGGCAGTGTCGGGGTCTCCACGCTGCTGCTGCGGCTGCATGGAGAAGCAGCGGCGTCCATTCTCACGGGGGGTGGCGGGGAGCCGAAGGAGCTTCTGGGCCGTTGAGCGAAACGTCTGACATCGTGCCGAACGACACGCGGTACGACCCTTAAACACGCCGGAGAGCTGGGTTGGGGAGTGTTTCCGTGAAGATTCAAAGTGGAGAGCGTTTGTGCGCTTTGCAAACCGAGTACAGATCGGAGAGTGTTGCTATGTTTGGCAAGTAATTTTTGTACAGAGTGTGCGTGGTTATTGGAGAGTGTCTTTGTGTGTGGAGCAAGCGAGTGTTTCTGGAGGGATCGATGAGTGCGTACAGAGTGGGGGAGGGAGTTTTGGTGGCGGTGTGGAGTGTTTGAAAGGAGGGGGGGGGGAGGAATGTGGGCACGAGGCTGCTGCCCTGTTTATCTCGGTTGACCTTTGACCCCGCGCCATTATAATAACGAACGTTTGAAACCGCGCTGTGTGGTTCTTCTCTTGCTCCGTTTCAATTTCCACATTTTCCGATCCTTTAAAGGGCACAGTTATTTACCTTGCACCAACCCAAATAACATCCTCATCTTCCTCCTCTGCTTCAGCCGTGCTCAAACCCGCTGCTGGATGAAACTGCAACCTACTACTTCAACGATATCTTTTTTTAAATTTGGAAACATGTTAATTACGTATTTTTAATCTTGATTTGAAGCTTTCGTGACTGCAGGAATCCATACTCTTTGGTTCTTTCGGTAAAATCACGTAGGTCAGAAAGTAAAATAAATACCTACGTGACTTTACCGAAAGAACCAAGGAGTATGGACTTTTAATGTTTGCCATATTTGTATAGCCTTTATTTAATAGTAATTTCTTAATATAAATGACTATTAATCAGTACCGTCCGTTGCCAATCCACTGCTGGATGAAGGCCTCCCTCTACGTGTGCTGGTCAGTCCCGATTGATTGGTCTAGTGAGGGCGACAGGTCGGTAAAATTCATAGGGCAGTGCGCTATCCAGCGCACCACCACTCCACACCACGTTACAATGTTACGTTAATCCTCGCGATACCATTCATCGATTGGTGCACCATTGATAGCCTTGGCGAGCATGTTGACGTCTTTAATGGACACTGGAGAAAGAGGAACACGTGGACTAGAGAACAAACTGCAGGTTTCCTGCTCGGCAAAGGAAGGGGAGGGGGGTTTGGCAGGGCGGGATGGCTGGCGAGAGAGAGAGTCACTCGTGAATCACAGACAAAGGTTGGCACCGCAGCCTTGACGACGTCCTCCACGGGAGATGGAGCGGTGGAATCGGCTCGCACTTTGAGCCGGATGAATCGTTCACTTGGCAGGATTGCTGAGAGAATGGCTAACTTGGGGGGGGGGGGGGGAGGCCTTCATCCAGCAGTGGGTAGATCTTGGCACGCTACAACGACGGCTGCGGCGGTGGTGACGATGACGTCACGGATGAACTTTGTGGTTGTTGCTGTCATTTTGTCCCTCGGTGCAGGGAGGCGCCAAGCCCAGGAGTGGCTCTGGGAGCGACAGCCTCAGGTCCCGGAGTAACACCTTCACCTCCGACTCCTCCAGGGTGAGTGGGGCGAGGGGGGGGGGGGTCACAGGCCTGTGGGGGTATCACGGTCTTCTGAGGGGGGTGGCGGCGGCGGCGGTGGCGGGGAGAGGTTCAGAGTGGGGGTGGCCACACGCAAGTCGCGTGGTGTAAGCGAGGCTCGAGCTGATGTAGAAACTTAGTAAAGTGACCTCTGTGCACCTATGGCCACTCGGCTCCCAAGAGCAATGCGCAGGCGGTGGAACTGCACCGGGGCTCGTGGGCCGCAAGGGCCACAGGTGCCGGGCTACTCGGGGTTAAATAAAGGCCGTCAATGATGCTTATTGGCGGAATCTCGCGTGGGTGAATAATGGGCATCATTCACGAGGCGACGAATCGTCCCGTGTTCTCCGCAGGAGTCGACATCTCCACCACCCTCCCCCCCTCCACTGCGGCCCCCCCCCACGGGGACCCAGGCCGGCGGAGGGCTGCGTGCCCCCCACGCCGCCTCCTCCAACGACCAGGACAGCAGCGACCCCGACACCCCGGAACTGGTGACCCCCAAATACCGGCGGGGGGGTCCGGAGGCGACTGCGGTCGGGGAGGGGCTATCCCGGGGCCGGGACCCCCGCCCCGGGGTCCCACAGGGGTCTGGAGAGGGGGCCGCCGCCTGGAGGAGACCCCCACGTGCGCCGCGGCATCCCACGGTCACCCCAGAAGCCATGGCGGCGCGCAGACGAAGCAGGTGGGGGTCCTCAGGGGTCTGTGTGTGTGGTCACTTTTACAAGGTGTGCCCAAAAAACAGGACCACAGGCTCCTGTTTGTGTTGAACAGGTGAAGGCTGCGCGTGTGTGTTTTTTTGGGTGCAGTTTGTAAATGTGCTTGTGACTGAGTGTACCCAACGCGTGTGTTTGGGATGGCAGTTTTTGGGTGCACTTTGTGACTTTTTACGTGGGCGTGGTTGTGGCCGTCTTGTTGTTTTTGGGGTGCACATTGCAAGCGTGAGTTTGCATGCAGCTTCGGCACTGGGTGAAGTGTGGGTGTCTGTGTTCTCGAGTGCACTCGGGAAATGTGCGAGTGGAGCCGATCATGGCTTGACATTATTGGCGAGAGCTATCTACAAACTGGGCTTGGTTGGGTAGCCCCTCCCATCTCGCCAATCCGCATTTACCAGCATGGTGAAGTATGGTTAAACACAACATCCCGTGACTAGAAGGCGTTGGGAAACATTCATCCAGAAGTGGATTGACAAAGGGCTGTAAGTTATTCTCCTGTGTGGACTTTGTGAAACGTCCCCATTCTTCCTTGCTCTCCACCCCCACGCTCACCCTCACACCATCACCTACACACACTCATGCCCATCCTCACCCTCCACTCACCCCCACGCTCACTCTCACACCATCACCTCCATGCACTCACCCTCCACTCACCCGTACATTCACCTCACTCCCACGCTAACCCTCACCGATCCCCACAGCGGCGCGTGAGATCTGTTTCATTCGAGGGAATGAGATTATCGGCACAGTTTAATTAAGAATCGCTACGGGGGGTGTGGGAAGGAGGAGGGGGGGGAAGTCCCCCTGCACCCCTGGCAAGGAACGTTACCTCCGTGTCTCTCTGTCCCTCTGTTTCCCTGTCCCCCTGTCCCGTGTCCTCGACTCCCCCTGTCTCAACGCCCATGCCCCCGATGGTTCGCGTGTTCCCGTGCACCCCTTCTTCCTACTTCTGTATCTGCCGTGTCCCCCGTGACTCCCCTAACTCCCTATCCCCGTGTCCCCACATCTCCTTGTTCCTCCGGGTGACGTGGCACATCCTCCGTCCCCCCCCTCCCCCTTCTTCCCCCCCTCCCCCATTTCCCATCCCCCCCCCCACCACAACTCCCTCCATCTCCCTCCTCCCTGCTGGGGATTGGCCGCTCCGCTCTCTGCACACCTGGTGACGTCACGTCTATTTTTAGACGAATGCCTTCTCGATGGAAGGGGGGGGGGCACGGGGGTGGGGGGGGGGGATCGGAGGGGGGAATAGTATGGGGGGTGGGGGGGAGTGAAGGGGGAGGGGCTGTCTAAACTCAATGGAGGCAGAGGCAGCTGCTGCTGTCACCGCGATCTGCAGGCATGGATCTGGTCGCTTCCTCCTGAAACATTCCAGCACAAGGAGCTCTGTAAGTTAATGCGCCGTCGCGTTTCTACGTTAATAAGTCGTTACGTTAATAAGTTATCAGGTGAGTGGGTTATTGGGTTAATGAGTCATTGGCCTTAAGCTTACTCCGTCTGCTATGGGATGCTTGGGCTCGGTCGTTAAGTTAATGAGCCGTCACTTCAATGAGCGATCAAGCTGCCCGTGGCAGGCCGGTGGCAGCACAGTGGCGACACTCGCGCTGCTCAGGTTCAACTCCCGTCCCGGGCTCCTCCTTGTGGAATTTCTATGTTCTAGCCCTGTTCTACTCGGTGAGAGTCTCCAAGTGTTCGTCTGTGTGTCTGTGTGTGTCTGGGGAGCGGTAGTGTAGCGGTTAGCGCTACGCTGCGCTACGAACCTGGCGACCCGGGTTCGATTGCCGCTCACGGCCATCACCAGTGACGATTATCTGAACCGGTCCTGGGCCCTCACCTAGGTCGACTCGGCCTGAAATGGGTACCTGGTGAGATGTGTAAAAATCGCCACTAGGGAGACAAAGGCGGCCGGGCGTGGTGTTGGCCACCCACCCCCTCGTGTGCAGTGCCGGCCTTTATAGGTGCTCGCTAACTGCACTTGCCCCAACAGTCTGTTAAGGCTATACGGGGGGGATCGTTTTGAGCAGCAGTGTAGTGGTGAGCACCCTCCCCCTTAGGGGGGGAGCCCTAGGACCGGTTCAGGTAATAATCCTCGCTGGTGTTGATCGTGAGCGGGAATCTAACTCTGGTCACGGGGTTTGTAGTCCAGCGTGCGCCGACTCCGACACGACCATTGTCACCCTGCTACGGCGCCAGCGCTGAGCCGATGGAGAGGCGGGGGAGCCGTTATCAGTCAGCGGCGGGGGCTGTGAGCGATGGGCCACCTATGGAATGTCCACCGTGGCCGTGGAGTGCCATTGTATTCCCAAGTCCCTGCGAGTCCACGCGGTACTGCGTGCGTGGCCAGTCTGAGCTCACGTTGTGCGCCTGCGCCTTCATTGGTGCTTCTCGCTAACACAACTATTGCCCCAACGGCTTGTTAGAGGCTATACGGGGGGGGGTCTTTGGCTTGTCTTTGTTACCGTTGCCGAGTGGTGAGTTTGGGGTGAGGCAGCTCGCAGTGGGAGCGGCTTCCCCCCCCAAATAGTTTTTTATCTCTCTACGTAAGTCAGCTCAAGATTCACGTGGATCCCCACAGAATCCGTCCCCTCTCCTTTCACCCCCGCCCCCTGTGAAAACGCACCCCGTTCCGTGCCCCCATGCTCCCGTTTCTCCATTCCTTCCCCATCCCCTTCCCTCTCATCTCCCATTCTGTCTCTTCTCTTTTTCTCTTGCCTCTCCCGTTCCTTTTCCCCATGCATTACATCCTTGACTCTCCTCCCCTGTCCTTGGTGCTATGCCACCGCTAATACCGGGGCTGGCGAAACTCCCTCGTCTGGTGTACAGGAATTCATGGGTTCGATCCCCACCTAGACGCCTGCTGCTGCATACTTGGAGTTTGCGTGTCTCTCTCTCCGTGGTCGTGTGGATTTTTATCCGGTTTGTTCCCTCCACATTTAGAAACATGCTTTTAGAGTATTTGCCTGCTATAAATTTCCACGTGATAAGACACTTGGTTGATCTGTCATTTTTGGCCAGGTCACTTGTGAAAGAGAGCTACAAGTATAGAGCTCAGTGGGCCTGAACTGGTAAAACAAAAATATTTTAGTAGTTTTAATACGAATTGTATTTTATTATCCTAAATAACGATTGCATTTCCCGGATCAGCGCGTCTGCCGTCACGGGGCACGCACGCCGCTCCGCTCACTGTTTGCTCTCTTGCTTTCGAGCCATCGTGTTTGCATTTGCATCACATCGTGCAGTGTCGTATGTCGGCGACTGTGTCTGGGCAGCGGTAGTGCAGTGATTAGCCCACTGCGTTGCAAACCCGGCGATCCAGGTTCGATTCCCGCTCGTGACTAATACTATTGGTGGATATTTGAACCGGTTCAGGCCTTCTCTAGGTCGTCTTGGCCTTATACGAGTACCCGATGCGGTGTGTAAACATTACCAATGGGGGAAGACAAAGGCGGCCGGGCATGGTGTTGGCCAAACACCCCTTCGTGTGCGCCGTGCCATCCTTGATAGGCGCTCGCCAACGGCGCTTGCCCCAATAATGTTGAAGGCTATACGGGGGGGGTCTTTGTCTTTGTGCGGTCGTGCAGTGAGGTTGTTGCGGAGCCGCGGAGTGGGGGGGCGCGCCCCCCGCTGGTGCGCCGCCTCTCGTGGAGGCAGCAAATCTTCCTGCGCGCCTCCGAGCTCGACGCGAGCTCCTTCACGCGCCCAGGTCAAGAGGTCACCCCGACCAGCGATCCGCCGCTCACACCGCCGCCGCACCCTCACCCACCCTTTCCTTCCCACCCATCGCAACCTCCTCCTCCTCCTCTATTCCCAACCTCAAAGTTTCTTTACCAACCCTCCTCCTCCGCCCTACACACGTGTCCCAGCCATCACAACCTACGCACACAGAGACCGGTGGCACGATGTGGTGAGCGTCGTGCCCTGGTGCAAGCAATCTACCATGACCCGGTGACCCTATAACGGTGCCCCCCCATCGCCGCCCACCCCCCCCCCCACTCACTGGGTAAGCAGATTCGCTGGACGGCTGCCCGTCGGACGTGCCGGTGCTGCCCCCCACGGCGGAGGAGGGGGAGGAGGGAGCGGTGCAGCGCCGCTGGCACCGCCACGCGGTGAGGACGCGGTGGCGCAAGGCGATCCAGGAGCAGATCCTGCTGCTCAGGATGGACCGCGAGAACCGGAGACTCCAGGGTACGAGCGCGGGCAGAGAGCCGAGCCACAGCGACTCGCCAGAAATCGCCACAACTCGCCACGACAGCTCGCCCGAACTAACGCCCTCCCTCGCCTGACCTCCGTCTCGCCCTGACCGCCGGTGCAGCCCACCACGACGACCTGCAGACGAAGCGCGTGAAGCTGGACTACGAGGAGGTGACGCCCTGCCTCAGGGAGGTGACGGCGCTCTGGGAGTGCTGGCTCGCCGCTCCCGACCGCGCCCACGTGCTCCGCAGCCACGAGCAGCTCAGCGCCGCCGTGTGCCGCGGTGAGCCCCCCCCCCCCCCCGCCCCTCCCCCACGCTGAGCCTGCCAGAAACGCGTACTGGGCTGGCGTCTAATGTGCGGTCATAATAATACGGAGGCACCCGCAGACTTGCATAGAGACCCAAAGAGGCCCATAGAGATCCGTTAAGTGATACGGGAGCCCATTGGCGCGCACGCAGACCAAGAGACTCGCGCACAGAAACACAGATAACCACGGATTGGCATAACCACGTCATCCATAACAGAGGTTTTTTTGGGTTAGATCGCGTAATGTATAAATGGTGTGTCGTTAAACCCGCCACCACCCGCCACAGCCAACTAGTAAGGGTTGTCGCGTAAACAGATCGTGCCAATTCGTCACGAGTACCTCTATCATGGATGATATTGGTCGCCAAAGCCTAAGCGTTAAACTAACCACATAGTCATAAAGTTTACAACGAAACCGATAAAATCAGACGCATAGACTCGCATTATAGAGACCCATAAGCTCTCATCGAGAGCCATACAATTGCATAGAACCCACGTGCACGTGCGTGTTGCTGGCCACCCACCCCCTCGTATGCCGTGCCGGCCTTCACAGGCGCTACTCGCCAACAGCACTTTCCCCAACACTCTGTGTGGGCTACACGGAGGGGGGCGGTCTTTGCGCGCGTGTGCAGGCGTGCCGCGTGCCCGGCGTGGTGAGATCTGGCAGTTCCTCGCTGAGCAGCACCGGCTCCGGCACCCGCAGCGGGGTCAGCACGAGGTGGGGCAGCAGCAGCTGGCGGACATCCCCTACCACACGCTGCTCAAACAGCTGACGGCACAGCAGCACGCCATCCTCATCGACCTGGGTGAGACCGCGGGAGCCACGCGGGCGGCTGTCGAGCGGGCGCCGGCGTTCACGGCGGGCTTGCCGAACGGCGCCACCGCAGCGTCAGCCTCGAGCCTGGCGGAGATCTCGCTCCGGCACGGAGCCCGGTGGGGTGGCTTCGTGGTGGAGCGAGAGTCCGTGTCGCTCGCTCCTCCTCGTCTCGCTCCTCTCGCTCGCTCCTCCTCGCTCTCCGTATCCCCGCTCGCTCCTCGTGTTCCTCACGCCAACTCTTCCTCACTCCACCTTGGCCCCCACCTCCTCATCACCGCCCCCTCCTCCCCCCTTCATTACCTCCACCACCCCTCCTGTATCCCTGCAGGCCACACAGCCCCAATGTCACGCTCACTCCTCTTTCTCCTCATCTCACCCCTCCTCATCTCACTCCTCCCTCTTCCCATGTCCCCGACGGCCACACGTTCCCCACGTACCCTCACTCCTCTTTCTCCTCCTCTCACTCCTCCTCACCTCCCCGTGCCCGCCCCTCCCCGCAGGCCGCACGTTCCCCGCCCACCCGTACTTCTCGGCGCAGCTGGGCTCGGGCCAGCTGGCGCTCTACAACCTGCTGAAGGCCTACTCGCTGCTGGACCCCGAGGTGGGCTACTGCCAGGGCCTGAGCTTCGTGGCCGGCGTGCTGCTGCTGCACCTCGACGAGCGCGACGCCTTCGCCCTCCTCAAGTTCCTCATGGGCCACATGGGCCTGCGCCGCCAGTACCAGCCCGACATGACCACGCTGCAGGTGGGCGCCGCCGCCGGCACCGCCGCCGCCACCGGCACCTCTGTCTTATAATGCGCTTGGAAGTATCCATAAGGACTGCACGTAAAATTAATACTGCGCTCGGAAGTATGGATACAATCCAAGCGATAGAGAAAGCTAAAGAATTCCAATGAAACGATACCATCACTGCACCACCGACACCACCGCCAACACCAAAACCCCCTACTCTTTGGTTCTATTCGGTAAAGTCACGTAGGTAAAAAATAAAACAACAAAAAATCACGACGTTTCGGCCACAACACAAGCGGCCTTCATCAGGTGAAGGGATCAGGCTGTCTCGAGGACAGCGCTGGAGTGGAACACGGCCACGCTCAGACCGCGACCTTTAAGCTGTGTGCGAGGAAACAAGGTGCCTTGACAAAGTAATTGCAATAAAAAATTAGCATTTGATTGGCCGACTTAGCATAGAAGTGGTGTACATGCAAGTGCACATGCCGGTTGGCGCAGGGGGCGGGGGGGGATTTTCCCTATTGATGGTGTGAAAAGGGAATTTAAGAGCTGCGAAAGTTTGGGGTACCACTACTTGAAAAATATACTGTACCATTGAAATTAGTTTAATGTTTGGTTCTATTTAGAACATCTTTCCAATGGTTGCTTAATTTGAAACCATCTTCTCGGTTGAAATTGTGTCTGTGCTTGTAGATCTGAATTGCCTCGTGAACAAATCTCTGATAAAAACCCATGGGTTTGCAAAGAACCTTGGTATCGGAGAAAATTATATCGTGATCACCCACAGCGTTGTAACAATGATCAGCCACGGCAGAAGAATCCGTTCTACCGTGTTTCAAATCTGATTTTGTGTTCGCGAATTCGGTCAGAGGCATGTCCCTTTGTCTCCCTGATATAGCAATCACCGCAGGTACAACTCAATTTGTAAACCCCGGGGTACTGTAAGTCAGGAATGACATCCTTCACGGATGGGATCAGATCACGAATTTTGTGTACAGTATTGAACCGGACCTGGATCTTGTGTTTGTTTAGAATTTTGGAAATCCTTTTAATAACGCCTGCTATATATGGTAGTGTGATGGTTTTGACCGGAGTATCAAGTGGTTGTTTCTGTATGGAGGGAGAAACAGCTTGGCGGATGGTACGGTCAGAGTATCCATTCCTTTTGAGGGCCAGGTGTACATGTTTTAATTCACTGGTCAGGTGGTGTTGGTCCGAAATGCAATGAGCCCTATGGTATAACGTTTTGATGAGAGAATTCTTCTGGGCTGGGTGGTGCTGGGAATCAGGCTTCAAGTAGGAATCCGTGTGGGTGGGTTTCCTGTAGACAGAATGCCCCAATGAGCCATCAGGTCTCCTCTCAAACAGAACATCCAAGAATGGTAGCTTGCCATCTTTCTCCACCTCCATGGTGAATTTGATGGCGGGATGTTTGGAATTGATGTGGTGTAGGAAAAGGTTCAGAGCTGGGAGGCCATGTGGCCAAATGACGAAAGTGTCATCCACACATCTCTTCCACAGGGAAGGTCTGAGGGTGGAAGTCTGGGTGGCGTCTGATTCAAATTTCTCCATGAAAATATTGGCTATCACTGGTGACAAGGGGGATCCCATGGGGGTACCCTCATTTTGTTTGTAGAAGGAGCCATTCCAAGTAAAGTAGGTATTGTTGAGGCAGTGCCTAACCAGTGCAGGTGTATCGGGGTATAGTCCATGTTGGACCAAATTTTCAATTATTTCAATGGTATCAGGCACTGGGACCTTGGTGAACAAAGAGACCACATCGAAGCTGACAAGGATATCGTCAGTAGCGTTGCCGATAAAGGCAACGTTACTGTAATTATGGATAAAGATTCATACAACAACAAAATCCAGAATCTGCTCCACGATGGAAGTTACTCAAAAATTAAAAATGACCCTACCAATAGCCTAGCGATAAAAACCAACAAGATCATCACAAGTTCGACCTCCCTAATCGACCCAACTAAACGTCCCTCCCTAAAACCTTCTGCTGCAAGACCCCCTAGATTCTATGGTCTTCCTAAGATTCATAAAGAAGGCACCCCACTACGACCCATCGTATCCACGATCAACTCCCCTACCTATAGACTAGCCCGTTTTCTGTCAGATACCTTGCTGCCTTTCACTGGCAAGACCGCCTCAGCAGTACTTAACTCAGCCCAATTGGTCTCTATGGTCAAAGACGTTGTACTGTCCCCTGACGATATCCTTGTCAGCTTCGATGTGGTCTCTTTGTTCACCAAGGTCCCAGTGCCTGATACCATTGAAATAATTGAAAATTTGGTCCAACATGGACTAGACCCCGATACAACTGCACTGGTTAGGCACTGCCTCAACAATACCTACTTTACTTGGAATGGTTCCTTCTACAAACAAAATGAGGATACCCCCATGGGATCCCCCTTGTCACCAGTGATAGCCAATATTTTCATGGAGAAATTTGAATCAGACACCACCCAGACTTCCACCCTCAGACCTTCCCTGTGGAAGAGATATGTGGATGACACTTTCGTCATTTGGCCACATGGCCTCCCAGCTCTGAACCTTTTCCTACACCACATCAATTCCAGACATCCCGCCATCAAATTCACCATGGAGGTGGAGAAAGATGGCAAGCTACCATTCTTGGATGATCTGTTTGAGAGGAGACCTGATGGCTCATTGGGGCATTCTGTCTACAGGAAACCCACCCACACGGATTCCTACTTGAAGCCTGATTCCCACCACCACCCAGCCCAGAAGAATTCTCTCATCAAAACTTTATACCATAGGGCTCATTGCATTTCGGACCAACACCACCTGACCAGTGAATTAAAACATGTACACCTGGCCCTCAAAAGGAATGGATACTCTGACCGTACCATCCGCCAAGCTGTTTCTCCCTCCATACAGAAACAACCACTTGCTACTCCGGTCAAAACCATCACACTACCATATACAGCAGGCGTTACTAAAAGGATTTCCAAAATTCTAAACAAACACAAGATCCAGGTCCGGTTAAATACAGTACACAAAATTCGTGATCTGATCCCATCCGTGAAGGATGTCATTCCTGACTTACAGTATCCCGGGGTTTACAAATTGAGTTGTACCTGCAGTGATTGCTATATCGGGGAGACAAAGCGACATGTCTCTGACCGAATTCGCGAGCACAAATCAGATTTGAAACACGGTAGAACGGATTCTTCTGCCGAGGCTGATCATTGTTACAACGCTGTGGGTGATCACGATATAATTTTCTCCGATACCAAGGTTCTTTGCAAACCCACGGGTTTTTATCAGAGATTTGTTCACGAGGCAATTCAGATCTACAAGCACATACACAATTTCAACCGAGAAGATGGTTTCAAATTAAGCAACCATTGGAAAGATGTTCTAAATCGAACCAAACATTAAACTAATTTCAATGGTACAGTATATTTTTCAAGTAGTGGTACCCCAAACTTTCGCAGCTCTTAAATTCCCTTTTCACACCATCAATAGGGAAAATCCCCCCCCGCCCCCTGCGCCAACCGGCATGTGCACCCGCATGTACACAACTTCTATGCCAAGTCGGGCAATCAAATGCTAATTTTTTATGCTAATTCCTTTGTCAAGGCACCTTGTTTCCTCGCACACAGCTTAAAAGGTCGCGGTCTGAGCGTGGCTGTGTTCCACTCCAGCGCTGTCCTCGAGACAGCCTGATCCCTTCACCTGATGAAGGCCGCTTGTGTTGTGGCCGAAACGTCGTGATTTTTTGTTGTTTTATTTTTTTCCTACGTGACTTTACCGAATAGAACCAAAGAGTATGGATCCTTGCAGTCACGAAAGCTTTAAATCTAGAACCAAAACCCACTGCCTGCTCTTTGCCTACTCTCTCCTCTCTCGACTCTTTCCCCGCGTGCTCTCCCCGCGTAGATCCAGATGTACCAGCTGTCGCGGCTGCTGCACGATCACCACCGCGAGCTGCACGCCCACATGGAGGAGGCGGAGATTGGGCCCAGCCTCTACGCACCGCCCTGGTTCCTCACTCTCTTCGCATCACAGTTCCCTCTCGGATTCGTCGCCCGTGTGTTCGGTCGGTGCCTCGCACTCGCTCGCTCACCCTCACTCACTCACCCTCACTCGCTCACACTCACTCACTCGCACTCACACTCACTCGCACTCACTCACTCACTCACCCTCACTCGCTCACACTCACTCTCACTCACTCTCACACTCACTCACTCTCACTCACTCACCCTCACTCGCTCACACTCACTCGCACTCACATTCACACTCACTCACCCTCACTCGCTCACACTCACTCGCTCACACTCACTCGCTCTCACTCACTCGCTCTCACTCACTCGCCTCACTCATTCGCTCACCCTCACTCGCTCACACTCACACTCACTCACACTCGCTCACCCTCACTCACTCGCACTCACATTCACCCTCACTCACTCACCCTCACTCACTCACACTCACATTCACACTCACTCACTCACTCGCACTCACTCACTCTCACTCACTCGCTCACCCTCACTCGCTCACACTCACATTGACCCTCACTCACTCACCCTCACTCGCTCACACTCACTCACACTCACACTCACTCACTCACCCTCACTCGCTCACACTCACATTCACCCTCACTCACTCGCACTCACTCAATCACCCTCACTCGCTCACACTCACTCACTGACACTCACTCACTGACACTCACTCACTCACTCACCCTCACTCGCTCACACTCACTCTCACTCACTCTCACACTCACTCGCTCTCACTCACTCACACTCACTCACACTCACACACTGACACTCACTCACACACTCACACACTCAAACTCACTCGCTCACTCACACTCACTCGCTCGCTCACCCTCACTCACTTGCTCACACTCACTCTCACTCACTCGCTCACCCTCACTCGCTCACACTCACATTGACCCTCACTCACTCACCCTCACTCGCTCACACTCACTCACACTCACACTCACTCACTCACCCTCACTCGCTCACACTCACATTCACCCTCACTCACTCGCACTCACTCAATCACCCTCACTCGCTCACACTCACTCACTGACACTCACTCACTGACACTCACTCACTCACCCTCACTCGCTCACACTCACTCTCACTCACTCTCACACTCACTCACTCGCACTCACTCACACTCACTCACACTCACACACTGACACTCACTCACACACTCACACACTCAAACTCACTCGCTCACTCACACTCACTCGCTCGCTCACCCTCACTCACTTGCTCGCACTCACTCTCACTCACTCACACTCACTCGCTCTCACTCACTCACACACTCACTCACACTCACACACTCACTCACACTCACACACTCACTCACTCACTCTCACATTCACACTCACTCACTCACACTCACTCACACTCACTCGCTCGCACTCACACATTCACACTCACTCACTCGCACTCACACATTCACACTCACTCACACTCACTCTCACTCACTCACACTCACTCTCACTCACTCACTCACACTCACTCTCACTCACTCACTCACACTCACTCACTCACACCCTCACTCGCTCCCACTCATACACTCACTCTCACTCACTCACTCACACTCACTCACACTCATTCACTAAAACTCACTCGCTCACTCACACTCACTCACTTGCTCGCACTCACTCTCACTCACTCTCACTCTCAGTCACTCACTCATACTCGCTCGCTCACCCTCACTCACTCGCACTCACACACACTCACTCACTCAAACTCACTCTCACACTCACTCACACTCTCTCACTCACTCACACTCACTCACACACACTCACATTCACTCACTCACACTCACTCACTCACAGTCACTCACTCACACTCACTCACTCACACTCACTCTCATTCACTCACACTCACTCTCATTCACTCACACTCACACTCACTCACTCACACTCTCTCACTCACTCACACTCACTCACTCACACTCACTCACACTCACTCACTCACACTCACTCACTCACAGTCACTCACTCACTCACACTCACTCACTCACTCTCACTCACTGACTCTCACTCACTCACCCTCACTCACTTGCTCGCACTCACTCAACAACAACAACCGCCATTCGCCACTAAGTGGCGGTGACGTCACCACGACGCTTGTGCCAGGCTATGTGCACCCTGAGGCCACGTGAAGTGTCGAACGCCCGCTGGCAGGAGGTCACGGGGCAGACCCAGGTGCCACGGGTCGACTGACTGAGATGACTGGCTGATGCACCACCTGTGCCCCCTACTGTGCCAACCTGCTGTGCTTTAGTCACCCGGCGCTCCGCTCGCTGTTGTGAGCGTCGCTCCTCCGCCCTCCGTTGTTGTTGGAGGGCGACTGCCTCCAACTGCCCAGTAGCATCCTTCACGAGCCTCCTCCACAGAGGCCGATCTTGACACCGCTGGTACCAGTCATCGGCAAGTCCACTCAGCTCCACGTCCTCCTGTACCACATCACTCCATCTCTTCTCTAGCCCGTGCCGCGGCCGCTTAGCCCCCTCAATCCGGCCAAACAAAAGCTGTTTCGGCATGCGGTGGCTGGGCATGCGGGCTACATGACCCAGCCATCGCAGCCTTGCCTGCCGGAGGAGCTCACCGATGGGACCTTGCCCAGATCTTTCAAGGATTTGTGAGCTCCTCACACAATCCAGTCTGGTTAAACCCAGGATGGATCGTAGGCAGGCCAGCCTAAATGTTTCTAACCGGCGAAGATGTTCCATTAGGGGGGTCCACGTTTCGCAAGCGTAGAGAAGGGAGGGAATGACCGTGGCCGAGAAGACCTGAAGCTTAGTGCGGAGCGACAGACCAGGTAGCTTCCACACAGCGTTATGCAACCGATGAAAAGATATTGCCGCTCGACTGATTCGGAGTGAGACCTCTGCTGTTACTGGAGCCGGTCATAAGCACTCGCACTCACTCTCACTCACACCAACTCGCACTCACTCGCACTCACTCACACTCACTCACACTCACTCACTCTCACTCACTCACACTCACTCACACTCACTCACTCACTCTCACTCACCCTCACTCACCCCTGTCTTACCAATCCTCACCCTCGCTAGCCCCATCCTCACCCTCGCTAGCCCCATCCTCACCCTCGCTAGCCCCATCCTCACCCTCGCTAGCCCCATCCTCACCCTCGCTAGCCCCATCCTCACCCTCGCTAGCTCCATGCTCACCCTCGCTAGCCCCATCCTCACCCTCGCTAGCCCCATCCTCACCCTCGCTAGCCCCATCCTCACCCTCGCTAGCCCCATCCTCACCCTCGCTAGCCCCATCCTCACCCTCGCTAGCTCCATGCTCACCCTCGCTAGCCCCATCCTCACCCTCGCTAGCCCCATCCTCACCCTGGCTCGCCGCGTCTCGCTCAGTCTCGCCGCTTCCTCACAGGATGCTGCTGCTTTGGTTGTCATCAGCAGTCCCAGCGAACGGCTCCGCATGATCTCCCCCGGCCCCCAGACCTGGTGTTCCTGCAGGGCCCCGAGGTGGTGTTCAAGGTGGCGCTGGCGCTGCTGGGCTCGCACGACGCGCTGCTCATGCAGACGTGCGACAGCTTCGAGAGCATCGTGGAGTTCCTCAAGAGCACGCTGCCCAACCTCGGCCTCGTGCAGATGGAGAAGACCATCAACCAGGTACCACGGGGGGGAGGGGTGGGGGGGGGGCAACCACGTGCAACCGGGTACAGTCTGGTGGGACTCGGAGAAATCTGGTGCGATCTGGTGCAACCTGGTGCAGTCTGATGCAACCGGGATTCAATAAAAAAACAATGTGTGGTGGTTGATTGATGATGATGATGTGTGCGGTGTGACAATTCAGAGTCATGGTGCTGGTGCTGGAGGTTATGTTCGTGGTGACGACGATGGCAATGATTAGGATGGTGACGACGACGACGACGATGCGATCTCGCCTCCCCAGGTGCTGAGTCTGGACCTGACGCAGCAGCTGCAGGCGTTCGAGGTGGAGTACCGCGTGCTGCGCGACGAGATGCACGCCGGCTCCACGCCGCCCCCCCAGCCCTCCAGGACCCCCCGAGGGGGGAGTGCCGGCGATCAAAACCACGACCACGATCACGACGACGAGGACGACGACGATCACGACGACGAGGCGAGGAGCAGGACGAGCGAAGCGACGCGCTGGGCGGCGCTGGAGAGGGAGAACGCGGCGCTCCGCGAGGAGAACGCCGGACTCCGCGCGGAGCTGCAGGTGAGGGGTGGCGGTCGCGCATCCGTGCTTGCATTGTCCTTGTACCGGTCGCCTTTTGCCGGTGTTCCTCTGGTCTGACACTGGCAGTGTTCCTCTGGTCTGACACTGAGACGAGGCCGTGGAGGCGGTTTCTGGTGTAGGCCAATCCGTTTCAACAACAATGCGCACATTGTCACCAAAGTGCGTTTGTTTGCATGTTTCACCACACGTGTGGTTCATGCAGACTTTTGAGACGCCTTGTGGTAATGGGCGTCCATTTGGTGTTTCAACATGTTAATGCCTCCTGTATTCTTTCCGGAAAGGGTGAAGGCCTGTTCTTTTTCATCCTCCTGACGCTGGCAAAACGTGTCGCATAGATCAAAACGAGGGGCGTTGGAGCCGCCACGCACAGCGGGCCCGGGACAATTTCAACGATGCCAGCGACGTGGTCGTCATGGTCCATCCTGAACGAGGCTCCCTACCCTTACCCCCCCCTCCCCCCCAGGCGTGCGTGGACCGCGTGCGGAGCCTGGAGGCGAGCGTCGAGAGCCTGGCGAGCGCCGAGTGCAAGCTGCGGCAGAGTGCGCGTGCCGCGGACATCGAGCGCTCCGCCCTCCTCGCCACCGTGGAGGCCCTGCGACTGCAAGGCGCTGCGGCCGACCCCCCACTATGAAAGGGGGCCCCCCACACCCCCCCCCCCGGACCCCCCCTTGCTGCTCTGAGCATACCCCCCCCCCCTCACCGACTATGAGAACAATCTCGTGGTTCCACGTCTCTGGCACCGCCAGCACGACACTGCCTCTGCGGGATGCGGGGAGGACGATGATTGCGAGTCACGTGGGGTGGAGAGCTGGGGGGAGCTGAGCCCCCCCCCCCCCCCCCCCACTCCACTACGCTCACCCTGGACACCCTGCGATAGAAGACTTTAGCTCACACGTTTGGAGGGGGCGCATGAGCGACGTTTTTATTCTGGTGGTCGGGGGGAGGGGGGTGTTTGTATTGGGGGGCCGTGCCCCACCTCCTGTACAGCAGTGTTGTCCATCTTTTGTGTCCCACCGAGCTGGGGAGGAGCTCGGAGTTGCGTTGGAGAGATCACCACCGGCACTCTGGACGGCGCCGGTGGTGATGCCACCAACACCCATCGTCATGGCTCCCTTCCCTCTGGCAGACCCAGCAGTTGTTTGCACAGTCAACACCTCTGTGGCGGATCCAAGGGGGGGAGTGGTAGGCGAGGGGCGATGGGGTCAATTGAAAAATCGAGACCTCGAAAATTTTAATTTCATTGATATTTACCACGGAAAAGATATCGACTTGTATTTTTAATGTAAGGGCTTATTTAAAAAGCTTGAAATATCGGGATGCGCCCCCTCCCCTCTCCCTTGGGAAGTTTCTGATCTGCCTCTGTGCCACCTCGTGACCGCGTGCCCCAAGTCCCATCACACCCATGACGTTCCCTCCACTGACGGTGTGGGCGAGTGCCGCCCCTCCCCCTCACCACGTGGCAATCGGTGCCCCCCCCCCCCCCCCCGTGCCCGAGAATCAACTTCAGGGGCAGTGCCGGCGAAAGTGGCCGTGAGTGGACGAATGTTGGAGTGGAAAGCCAAATCCAGCCCCCCCCCCCCTTGCCCTTGTAAAGTCCCAAATAGTCCATGACCCCAGGCCACATTTCGTTCAACGGTACCACCCAAGGTTGGCGCAACTTGATCGATTCCAATCAAAAGTTTCGGCCAATTCAGAGCGAATTACTTGATAAATATGTGCGGCTCTGGAGTGTTGCTACCTTCGCGTCTACAGAGTTCTGCTCGGGCCTTCGGGCTTGAGAAGGTCCAGAGGGCCCCAAAAACATCAAGGTGGGGGGGGAGAGCGAGGAGCGGATTCCGTGCGGCCAAAGTATCGGTGCAGTGTTACGAGTTGGCGTCATTGTGACGGAGATGATGATGATGATGATGGTTCTGCCCCCTAGCTGCCCCACTGGGCATCAGCCCGGACAGCCGGTGGGGAGTGGGGGGGGGGTACAGATCCGGGCCACGGAGTCTCCGTCCGCCCGTCTCTTTCGAGACGCCGCGGGTTTCCCGTGTAAATGTTAAACTCGTGTTATTTTATGTTATATGCTAATGTTGAAAACGACCGTGAGCTTGCCAAACTCGCCTACTTTTTTTAACGCGAAAGAAAAATCCGTAGAATATAAAGCCAGTTTACCGCAACACTATTGACCCAATTCTTAAACGGCAACAATGTTTTTTTTATACGGTCAATTCACCATGCGTGAGTGGGGGGCATTATGGGTAAAATCGAATGACAGAAGCAGGGTTATCGTCTCGCTCTCTTCACGTGTAAATACGTGTTTCGGTCCCATTGATGAAACAACATTTCCACTTTTAACAATTGCTTTCCAGACCAATGGTATCCGGTAGAACATTGTTGCAGCTGGCAAACTGTGGATGGGGTTTATACCAGTGCGCCTCATCAGTCGATTCAGGTCTGATCTTGAAGTAGAAACGCCACTTGCTGCTGTTACTCCAGATGCAGTTGCGTGTACACGGGGCGATCCTGAACGGTGCACATGCAGCACGGTACTGAATAGAGCCTCGACAAAAAACACAGCAGACGTGTATCACCCTCCTGGAGTTCAGGTGTAAGTTGAAAGCACTTTGTGAAAATCCCACGTGTGTGATTGTACATCTTGGCCCACTGTGTTTGGGGCGGCCGCGATCGTGACATGGAGGAGGGCGATCAGAGGAGAGACGCTGGTTGGTCGCGCAAGGGTTACGTTCGGTCGACACGGAGCCCACCACGTGGATGAGGGGGGTGGGGGGAAATGGATGTGCAGTGTTTTTGAGAGGTCACGATTTGCCCTCCGCCTTTGGCGATTCGATGACTTGTCGCGATCAATAATCGTACCTCGAAGCGAGAATCGATTTTTTTGTTATTTTTTAAAGTTTGGCGGTGAGTGGCTGCAATGGGTCATGTGAACGCACAATTACTCATCGATGAATGCCAGTCGTTTTAACTCGAGCTCATTTTAACAAAAAGCACCCCACGAACCCAGCCACTCGCCGGGCGCCCTCTCTCCATCTCCTTTTCGAGGACAATAAGATGAGAGCGCCGTTTTTCCGTGTTTGTGTCTCCGCATGAAAAAAAACCTATTTAAGTTTAGTTTATGGCATCGGCCACGCGAGCAGGTCATGGTAACGGCAGCATTGGTTCGATGCAGGCAAATTTTGTACCGGTTCCGACCATACATCGTCTCGTCAGCAGTGCGACTACAGAGTCAATGCTACTGAACTACCGGCACAACACGCCGTTTCTGTCTGTACCGCGATGGGGTTGAGGCTAAACCGTCGCCATCCATCAAGTAATTTTATTTCACCCTGAACCCTGTTTTTTAAATGGAAGCCTCGCGATAATGATGTTGACGTGGAGAGGAAAAAAAAGTGATATTTTTACATTAAAAATATAAAATATATATTTTTACATTAAAAATATAGAATATATATTTTTAATGGAAACCAAAGCGATGATGGGTCGCGGTAGCTTCTCTCCCCCCCTGCCCCCACCCCCGGACCCCGAACACCTCTTCTCTGAAGGCGCACACAACGAGCTCATGACTTTCGTCGTCTCATCGCTGTGAATCAGAGCCGTCCCTCGGGTACGGCGACTCGGAGTGACCGCCCCGGGCCCCGTGTTTCGGGGTGGGGGCCGGTTTGGGGTGTTTCGACGTCACGGCGTCCGACGTAATATTTCCGGTTTAGTTTGAAGGCGTCGGAGGGCCCACGCGGTGGGGTTACCCCGGGCACCGCACCCCACCTATGGACGGCCCTGCTGTGAATAACAACAACAATAATTATACTGTGCTTCCAATAAAACGTGCTTCCAAACGTGCTTCAAATTTCAGGACATTTTTTTAAATCTGTGGGGGAGCGTTGATGTACAGCGAGGACTAAACACCGTGCAGACGCATGGATTCTGTAGCTCCTCTCTCGCCGGCACGCGTTTATCCACCGAATTATATCCATTTATGATCGTATATTATGATGCGGTTTTTACCGAAGTAAGTGGCTAAGTTAATCATGCGTACTGCCAATATTTTGCTTGTGCCCGCGACTAGAGCAGGGGAAGGGGAGTAAGAGTCCAGGATGTGATGGATTAGAGAACATACGCAAGTGGTTAGAGACGCATCCGCCTCGCGAGGGGGAGGAGGAGGAGGCGATGCTCGTGAAGGGCGCTGCCGCGAGAGGGAGGCGTCGTGGCCGCCAGGGGGCGGAGTGGTCCAGGGGCTGTGTTCGGTTCCCCCACCACGGTCGTGTTTGCCGGGGCGCGTGACCGCGCGTGTGTTTTTTGGAGTGTGCCCGCATGCCCCGCCACCGCATGCCGAAACAGGTTTTGTTCGGCGGAATAGAGGGGGGCTAAGCGAGCGCGGCACGGGCTAGAGAGGAAACGGAGTGATGTGGTACAGGAGGACGTGGAGCTGAGTGGACTTGCCGATGACTGGTACCAGCGGTGTCAAGATCGGCCTCTGTGGAGGAGGCTCGTGAAGGACGCTACTGGGCAGTTGGAGGCAGTCGCCCTCCAACAACAACGGAGGGCGGAGGAGCGACGCTCACAACAATGAGCGGAGCGCCGGGTGGCTAAAGCCCAGCAGGTTGGCACAGTAGGGGGCACAGGTGGTGCATCAGCCAGTCATCTCAGTCAGTCGACCCGTGGCACCTGGGTCTGCCCCGTGACCTGCCAGCGGGGCGTTCGACACTTCACGTGGCCTCAACGTGCACCTCGCATGGCACAAGCGCCGTGGTGACATCACCGCCACTTCGTGGCGAATGTCGGTTGTTCTTGTTGAGCCTATGTGTGTGTGTGTCCTTGTAGGGAGTGGTGGCGTAGCGGTTGGCGCGCTGCACTACGAACCTGGCGACCCGAGTTCCATTCCCTCTCACGACCAATAACAGTGGCGAACATTTGAACCGGTCCTGGTCATCCCCTAGGTCGACTCGGCCTTAAAATCAGTACGTGCCACGGTGTGTAAACAGCATCAGCGCTGGGGAGATAAAGGCGGCCGGGAGTTGTTTTTATTGGCCACTCGACCCCCCGTTTGCCGTGTGTCGGCCTTCATCGGCGCTCGCGAACAGCACTTGCCCCAAAAGTCCTGTTCAAGGCCATACGGGGGGGGGGTCTTTGTCTTTACGCCTGTGACCAAAGCATCCGGAATGCGCCGAATCTCGTCAGATATCTGCGGCTAAGCAGGGCTGAGCCTGGGTGGCGCTTAGCTGGGCGGCCACCCTGCCCACTGAGGGTGCCATGGGCAGTTGGGGCACACGCGACGGGCGGCAGAGAGCGGCGCGGCATTGCTGCCGCCCCTGATTCTCCCTCCACTGGCGTGAGGAGGCCCTCATCCAGCAGTGGATCGACAACATGACTGTACATGGACGTGTTGTAGGCAATTGGGGGGAGCGCGCGTGCGGGGTGTAAGGAGCCCGCAGAAGTGATGCTTCCTTAATGGCTCGGTTAACCAGCTTGTTCTCACTGTATCACCGTCGATCTGGAGCACGTGTGGAGAAGTTGATGAGCCGTGTCTGTGACAGAGGGCGACTGTCACACGTGAGTAGACTTGCATGCCTCCACTACCTCCATATCGCCACTCCCTCCATGCCTCCCCTCCTTGACCCGCCCTGATCCCAGGCCACCTCCTCCCAGGCCACCCCCCTCCCTGACACTCCTGCATCGCTGACGTTCACCGTAGCGGGGAATCGAACTCGCCTGGTTCGGAACGCAGCGTGACAACTGCTGTCAACGGCACCCCCACCCGCCCCTTGCCACTCCCGTCACCAACCCGCACTGACCTACGTGGTGAAGTATGGTCAAAACGTAACGAATCCAGCAGTGGATTGATACACGAAGCGGGGCTGTAACGCAACAGACACATAGGGGTACACACGGCAGGCGTGTCTCAGTTCGAAGCCCGGCCACGGCTAACATCAGTGGCGAGTGACATCACCTAATGCGTGCACACGTGTGTGCATACGACTGCATATTTACACGCGCAGTTTTAACTTTAGCCCGGGGCCTATTCAATGATGTGTGACCGGGACTAAACATTTTCTGGGAGTGGGTGGGAGTGGGTGGGAAAGGGGTACAGTCGGCGGCGGAAGGCTTGAATACTTGTAGGGGAAGGGGAGGGGGCTGAGAGGGAGGGGGGGGGGCAAACTCCGCCAATATTCACTGCCACCCAGGCACCCACCTCCTCCTCTGCGGGCGCGTGGCCGCTGTGAGCCATGGGGCTGCTCTGCTGGGCCCGTGGCGGCAGGAAGCGGGCTGTTTATACAGCTGCTCTGCCGGGCTCCTGCTGCTGCTGAGTCGGGGTTGGGAGGAGGAGGAGGAGGGGTTGGGTGGGAGAAGGAGGAAGGAGGAGGGTGGTGGTGGTGGTGGTGGTAACGGCGGTAGTGGTTGTGGAGGAGGAGGAGGTGTGGACTCTGTTATTGAGATGAATGAAGAGCGACAAGCGTCAGTCCTGTAGCATCCTTGTTCGTCCTCGCCGGAACGAGTGACCGAATGACCGAATGACCGATTGATTGACTGAACCCCCTCCACACCCCGCTCCCTTTCCGGTCGGTGTCCACTCTTGTCCACTACACACCACGGCCCCCTCCCTCTCTCGCCCGCCTCCCCCGCACCCTCCCCCGCTGAGCCAGGCGTGTGGAGGGACCGCAGTGGAGAAGTGGCATTTCCTGCGCATTCCTCGTGATTTAGGTTATAGCACCTCCGAGTGGGGGGGGGGGGGGCGGATGGGAAGGGGGTGTATTATGGGGGGTAGAGGAGAGTCGTCCAGAATGTGGTGTTGTTAACCGCCTACGCTGAATTAAAGACGCTGCTAAGTGCTGCTGCTGCGTTTCGCAGTAATGCACCAAACACTATCAACAACAACAACAATTGTGTGTGTGTGCGGCTTTGATAAGCACAATACATAATAATAAGCGACGTTTTGGGCAATGACCCTTCTGGTATGTTGAACTTCTTTCGCGCCGTACGTAGCCAACCGTGCTAATCGGAGGTGCGGGGGAAGGACAACAAACGAACACACACACATACACACATGCCAGTTGTTCATCGCACAGAGAGAGGCCAGGTGGCAGGCAGACAATAAGAGACCATGGGGCCCTGATGATGATGATGAGAATACAAAATACGAGTCCCGAGTATAACTATTATAACAAGTATTATAACTAGTATTATGACTAGTAATAGTATAACTATTCAATTGCCAATTTACAAAAAGGGTCGCGAAGAAACACGAGTCACATGATGGCCCTTCTTCATAATACATGCAGGAAGGGCCATTCCGCGAAACGTCGCCCATTATATATTTGTTTTTATAGATTTGTTTGATGTGAATCCAGTGTTTATTGAGAATTCGTGAGTTGACAGATTCTCCACCGCGTGAGGCTCTGCTCATCGTTTGGAGGGCTGCGAGGACCGATTTCCACTCGCGAAGCCACCGCCTCGCGAAGACACCGCCTCGATTTAGAAATTAGGCAAAGATTTATGATCGCAACACGGGATAATAGCAGCAAGAACAATGCCATCAAAGAATAAGAGCATCACCAGCAATAACAATAAGAACAATCGTAATATTTCAAGTTGTGTCTTGAGGCTGGTGCTCATCTGCGTTGGTGTTGACGCTCGCAAGGGAAAACATTTCATGGATATTCCACATTCCTGTGGTAGGGGGCAGTGTCTACAGCAAGATCACCTGTTGATGTGCGACATAAGTGGCGTTGATTGTATCGGCCATGGAGCAGCTGTGATGATTGATGATACAGCAGTTGGGTCTCATTAACGATGATTCCACCTCTAACTGGGATTTGGATTCGCCTGCATCTAAGAGTCGAGCACACGTGATGGATTGCAATAATTGATCTTGTTTGGCGACGATGTCCGCCCGTGATCCGCCCCTGTGGAGGGCGACGGTTGGTGGATCACACCGAGATGGTGTGGAACTCCCTCCTTCCCGTGGGCGTCGAGGAGGAGTCGGACCCTGGCTCAAATGTGGACTTCCACCCATTCTATGTGTGGGATAGAGTGTTTCCACCTCGCACGCGTGGATTTTCTCCGGGAACTCCCACAGGAAGCCACACTCTCCCTATTCCTGAAGAGAGAAGTGGCCAAACATTCCAATGTAGCGGGACCTGGGGCATCATATTTGCCGTATCTGTCCTCATCGGCTATCACCCGGGCCACCACAGCCGGTACACCACATCCAGTATACATATCGCTGTGGCAACGTACTCCAGTCTAACCAGAGACCCAAAACATATTCATGTAATTTAAAATTAAGCCCTGTGTAGGGCCATCCTGGAGCCTTGAGACTTGGATAAATACAGAAAAATTACATAATTACAATTCTCATCATCACTTTTTATGAGTAGCACAACAATGCATCATCCACACTAGATGTATTTATATTTACTTGTTTATCTAGCAGAGCCACACTGAGCCGCATGGCACCTTCTCAGTCGCGTTCTGCATTATCTCGCGTTTATTTTAATGATGAATCCTGTTTATTATACCACGTGGGAGGAAGCCAGAGCACCCGGGGGAAATCCCACGCCTTGCGCAAACGGCGCAACTCTCCACCCCCGTACAGATTGAAACAGATGGCGAATAGTCCACACAATGCCGTACCGACTTCTCCTGGCAAGCCAGGCCTGTGGCAACCTCCTGCACGCCCACCAACGGGAAGGGAGTTTCACAATGCGCGCGTGATCCACCAACCCTTACTGGCCACCACGGAGCTGGCTTACAGGCCACGTGCAGCCTGGCCAACGCCGCCCTGCGAGTAAACAAACGCTCGCTCGCTCCCTTGCGTACGTGACCGCGCGAGCTAATTTGCA